ATTATTTTTATAGAAGGTGTCAGTTATATAATTAAATATAATATTATAATAAAAATATGAATATAATAATCTTTTCATAAAAATTTTTTTCAAATTTCCTTTCTTTAGTTTTTTTTTTCTCAAATTAAAATATTAAAAAAGTGAAGATTACAAAGGAAACCAAAGGTTAATGAGTTTTTACTTATTTTATTTTTTTTAAAATTAAAAGTTTATCCAAACATAAGAAAAAATTTTCTATTTCCGTTATTTTCCTTTATTTTCTTTTCATTTTCTTCTCCTCCCCTCAATCCAAACATAATGTTAAACAAATAAACCTTAAATAAATATAAATGAACCTAAATGAATATATACGAACTTTAAAATAAAATTAAGATAAAAGATAAAAAATAATTTTGTTAGTATTATTATAAATAAATTACACATGAATAGCAATGAACAAGTTTTAAATAAATTTTAAATGAGTTTGTTTATAAAAATAAACAAATCAAATAGATTTTTATTTGTATTTAATTTATTTAATGAATAAATATAAAAATATTATTCAAAATTATTTATTAAAAGAATAAAATTCTAACATATTGGAAGAGAAATTAGCTTTTATCGTTTACATCCATAAATAAATCCATTGGTCAACCTTGAGGGGTTTTATGAGCATTAAGAAGCTAGCTTGTTTAATCTGTTTTCTGTTATTCTTTTGTAGCGGATCCATCTTTAATCTATACACTTTTCGTTTTTTGTAAGTACTATAAAAAGACTGCAGCATAAATATAAAAATATTATATATATTAAAATTTAAACTCAAACTTCAAAACTTTTAAACGGCACCTTTTAAAAAGTAATATTTACATTGATGTTTTGTTTTATTTAGGAGTTAAGTATGATACTCCCTTTCAAGTGCTACTGTCTTTCGGCAAAAAAGAAAAAAAGAATTGCTTGCCCTGTACCAAGATTTCAGGGCACAACTCAAGGTCAATTCCGGGTGCCCAAATGGTTAAAATCTACAAAAAACAATAGATGAAAGGGACTGCCCGCAAATCCTCCCCCCCCCACCAATTTATGCTGGCAATTGCTTGTATTTACATATTATATGTATAATATAAAGCATAAAAGCTTGGCACCATCTATACCAGAAACATAGGCAATATGGCATTCAAGTACACTTGCTACAGTACACACTAATTTCTATTCTTGTACACACGTTAAGCCCATAAGAAAAAGATATGGACCATAGCTACGTATTCATTAGACGAACTTTCTCTAATATGTCAGGTATATAGACTTTGATTTTAGATGATGGGGGTGAGACTTGATTAAGATTTGCTCTTGAATTTCCTTTGAGCTTTCAAGTCTACAACAATTACAGAGATGTTGTCACTGCTCCCTTTTTGGATGGCGAGCATTGAAAGGTATTCGGCTGCTTCTTGCGCGGCAGCGTCAATTCCTTTGCCTCTTTCCACCAGAGATGGAATCCCATTCTTTTTGTGCCAGTGCAGGATTCGCCGTCGAGCCACCTCACAAGCTTCCTCATTTGATATGACATCCCATAACCCATCACTGGCCAAAATCAGACATTCGTCTTCTCTAGCTCGGGGAATAAACATAACTTCCGGTTCTGGGATGATCCATGGTTTTAAATATCTATCACCTATGAGATAACATAAAGGAAAACGTGAATGCAACTCTAGACTTTACTCAACGTTCATCACTAAATTGCTCAGCATCTCGAAAGGAAATGCTAGACTTCATTCACTATATTACACTAGTAATCTATAGCAGTTATGGCAGCACTAACTGTATTTATTTTCTGTTGGGAGAAGGGGGGGGGGATTTTAAGGTCGAACAGAACAGAATAGTGAGGCTACTCGGATGTACCAATATCTGGAATATATGGTTAGGATTCTAGTCATAGATCTCCAGATTGTAGACATACACATAAAAATTTGAGGTGTAAAAGTTGTCTAGAACAAATTTCATCATGATTCACCTTTCAGAATTTTCATTTCAAGTAGAAATAAACATACCAATGGACCTTGACATTGCAAGAACACCAAATACACGATGTCCATACCACTGTATAACCTTGCCTCCTGATGTCTCAATCCTTGCATACTCATCATCTCGGTTTGGCTGCACAACAACAAAACAAACATGTTGGTTTCCACACACAGATAGCTTCCTTTTTAGTTGTAGAAAAACTTAAGACTTTAAATGCTTTACTTTGTGATCAATTGACAATGCCATGGCTTCTTTGCCACGGCGCAAGACTGCTCTTGAATCACCACAGTTTGCAACGACAATATGCGATGAACAAACCAAGGCCACCACAGCTGTTGACCCAACAGTTTCAGGGGCAACAGGTTCAAAACTAGCAGCAGAAGCATCTTCATTGCCAACAATCACGCCTCTACTAACTTTTCCTCCAATCTCATCATCAACCTTCAAAAAGCAATTAGTAAATGTCTTCTCCCATTGCACCTGTCGACTCTCCATACTAGTGCCACCACATAAATTGTCTTTATTGCTCCTAATCTCTTCTGCCAAAGCCACGTGGACCCGGTCACGACAGTAGTTTGCCACCTGTATGAGGTTCCAATAAGCCATGCTAAAAGGTTAATCACTTTGGAATCATCCACAAACAATTTTGAAAGATTAAAATATGGTGAACAAGTAAGGAAACGATCAAGGAATCACTTATATGAGAAATAAAAATCATTGCAGTATGCAGCCATCCAAATTTGCTCAAAGTTGTAGTGTATTATCCAGTAACTAAAAGTTAATACTATCAAGAAGTATCTGCAATTATTGCCAAAACAGTATACAGGCAGAAACTACCATTTAATTCAGGAATCTTCAAATTTTCTTAAAGTAGAGTTCAAATGTAAAACAGGTTTTTAGGAAGAATGTTGTACCTGGGAGCCACCATGACCATCATAAACACCGAAAAAATGTCCAGTAACTTCAGTCAGACTTTGACTGATTCCATCAATAACATGATCGCCAATAAGCATTTTGATGGGAATCTTTATAAACCAAGGCACAGCAGCAACAGCATCTTCCATTTCTGTTCTTTTTCCAATAATAGACACAGAACCCCAAACGGGTATACAATCCAACTCAAAAACACTACGGCTAACTCTATTGAGATTCTTTTCACTAGGCAGCTGAATAACCACTTCAGAAGCCTTTAAATCAAATCCACCAGAAGTCTTTGCATCTGGATTCACCGTGGTGAGAAGAACTTCAGCTGTAGGCACCTGCTCAATGATTGACTCTCCCAAAATAATAGCCTTGGCAAGAATTCGGCCACTTTCAATTTCTCCATTTTGCAAGCTTATATCAGAACCTGCATTTAAAACCAGCAATCCCTCATTGATAATTCCATTAGTGTCCACTGACAAAATTTCATCTTCCTCACTTTCATGAGTCATGGATTCACTAGCAGCGGTTGATCTATTTCCACTCTCAGGTAACATCTTCAACAAATCAGCTTCTTCCCCACCACGCTCTTTTAATGCTGACATTGTCACCATGTTCCCTTCCTTCTTATCATCTTCAAAATTGCCATTACTATTAGAAATAGACTCCTGAGACATGACCTTTGCAGGATCAGACAAGAAGTTTGCTGCATCAGTTACGAGCTTGATCCGTGTGATTTCCACATGGGTTGCAATTCCGGAGTTCTCACACATAGAGTTACCTAAACTAAGCGTTACTGCAACTGCTGGAGACATCTCTTCCATCAATTCACCCCTCTATGCTACAAACAGGTACCACTCAAATCTCTAAAAAATTGACACAATTTACTAATATTCATCTTAATTATCTCCTTCCAGGAACAAACTTGGGATCAAGCCAGCAGGTTCTATCAACACTTTCTCCATTGTAATGAATCTCAATTACCCACCAATGTTTTTATAACAAATATATAGAGCAAAGAAATAGTACACCACCAAGATTAAAACTTTAAACGCCAGCAGAATGAAGATAAGATTAATCAGATCTGGTTACAGATCAAAACAGATCAACCCTTCTAATTAATGAAATTCAAACCGTAGTCACAAATAAACTGAGTTTCTCAAAGAGTCCACATCTTATCAAATTCTTCACCTTCTGAGAAAGATCCAATCAAGGTAATTAAATCCTATCCACACCACCTACCCTTTTAACACATAATAAGCACAAATGGAAACACCAAATTCAAGGCCTTATCTATAAAAAACCCCAGAGAAGAGAAAGCAAAAGGTATCATGAGAAAGAACCTAGGATAAAGCACAAACAAATCCAGAAAATCACAGGGAAACCCTAAAAAGGCAAACTTTTTGCCACATACAAGTCGGGTTTCCTGGATCTAAGGTAACCCATCTCAGCCTCTTCTTAAGTAAGGGTCTCTTTCACTTTCCTTCTACTTCCTTCCTACAAACACACCAACCCCCGATAATAACAACAACAACAACAAAAAGCTACTAGAATTATGTATCTCTAGAAAGAAAATATTAAAACCACCTGGAAACATGCTAAAAAGTTGATCTTGAGCCCCTTAAAACAATGGAAAAAATCAAATTGATTTAAAGAAATGATTACAAGGATGCCTACCAGTAGGAAATGAAGAGACTTTGGGGCTTCAAACTAAAAAAAGGGAAAAAATGGTGAAAGAAAGAAGCGTCCTTTTTTTCCTAGATTTTTTCTACGTTTCTGGGTTTGGGCAGGCTGAAGAGAGAGAGAGAAGAAAAAGAAAAGAAAAGAAAAAGAAAGAAAGAAACTGTGTGTGCGAAATGGCTTTTTGGTACCATGCACTCCTTAGGAGACACGTATTCATGTAATTATCTTACATCATTGAATGCTTTTAAGATTGGCAAAAAAAAAAGAAAAAGCTTTTAATGCAGAAATGCTTAGGACAGTGTTACATGAAGACAACTACTTATCGATTTTTAATGAGGCAAACTTTCAGCAGAGACACGTGTCCGAAAAGTCATACCGACACCAGTAATGTCTTTGTACCCATGTGATCCTATCCATCTGCTTCAATTTTTTGCACTACTTCTTACCTCTTACTTTTGCGTAGGTAAAAATACTATAGTACTTTTTTTTAGATATTTTTCTTCGTATATCATTTTTTATAAATAAAAAAGAAAAATCAGGATAAATAATCAGTTGTATGAAAATGTACCACAAGTTGATTAAGAAATTATTAACTTTTGATGTTTTTGACTCAATTCTTTGTATGACATGATCTAAAATTTTTAATTTTTGTTATTTTGTAGGTATATAATAGTTGATTGGATTTAAGATATACAATGTAGAATACTAAAATAATTGTACAAAGGATAAGAAAAAGTGGAGGAAATAGATATAACTTAGATGGCAAGATGATGTTTTTTCCTGAAATTATGGTAGCATCCCTAGCTAAATTTAGTAAAAAGTTAAACAAACAAGGATATATTTTCTTTCTTCTTCTTCCATTCTTCTTCATCCATTAGTTTGTTAATCCTAATGCAGGCCTCCGGCTGGGTGTGGTGGTGATAGTAACAGGGAAGGGGTGGTATTGCAATTGTTTTCTTGACAGTCAAGAAAAGGCAAATTCCTACCCCAATCCTGGTACCATCTAAGCCACATTGTTTAAGGAGAAGGGATATACTGATACAAGGATTCAGGTCAGGTCAGGAGTTTTGGGCATTGGCATTCTCAGAATCAACAACTTTTGACAATGGAGGAAACCCCTGCAGTCACAGCCATTGCCATTGACAGCGATAGGAATAGCCAACTTGCTGTAAAATGGGCGGTGGACAACCTGTTGAACACCGGCTCCAAATGCTTCCTCATTCACGTTCGAAGCCAGAGCTTGCATACGCGTAGGTATCTCTCTCTTTCATCGTGATCAATTCACGATCACGGTTATCATGATTTTCTGATCTTTGGGTTTGGTAAATAATAGATAGATTTAGAATCCCTTTTCGTCTATTGTAATTATGGTTAAGCATATCGTTCTGAGCAATGTTTCTGATGTAATTAGGTTTAAAGACTTGTGCTGATAATTCCTGTCAATGCAACTCAATTTATTTAGCAATGAGTAACATCATAAGCAGTTTCTTGGGCATTTTCACTACCTTCATTTTTTGTTGTGTTTGATTTGTGCTCTTCTGGTTTTTTCTCACAGAGGATTTTGAAGCCGCGCCTAAGGAAGGTCGACCACCATCTGAAGCTGAGTTGAAACAATTCTTCCTCCCTTACATAGGAAACTGTGCTCGAAAAGGGGTGAGTCATTAGCAAATCGGTTATTATGTATTCTATGACCATTTTTGTTAAAAAAAATAGTGAGTTAATATAATTATTTCTCTTGTCATTGGCATTGATTTGTTAGGCTAAGTGAAAGCTAAGCTAAATGGCCAATGCTAGGCCACCTTACATAAAAGGATTTGAAGTTGATAAGGTTCTCATATGCCCAGAATGTTGCTTGTTATTATTGCAGGATGAATGGAAGATAAATATAAATATCTTAAAAAGCTTTAAGCAGCAAGTTTGCATCTCTTACCATAAATGGCTAAACTTGAGTTCCATAAAAATAGAGTTTAAAAATTGCATCTCTTCAGCTCTGTGTAGTTAAATGTTTTACATATATTTGAAGCTCAAACTTGTTGCTCAGAGTGTATGACTCCCCATATAAAAAGTTGATTGTGCTTTGTGCATGTGCTAGCAATCACATATGACAAGGGAAGGACCATTAATTGATAACTTCATAATGCAACATAATACATAATTACTGCACCTTGCTATAAATTTATGCAAATGAAGATCTTGCCATATTGTATATGCCATTTAAAAGAACCTAATTCCATCAAACAAAAAAAAAAAAAAGAAGCTGATTTTCATGAACACTGGAGCTTTTTCAGATCCAATCACATAAGGTGGTCCTCCATGACATTGATGTTCCCAGTGCTCTGGTTGATTACATCAATGACAACAATATTGGAAATATTGTTGTTGGTGCTTCAAGAAGGAACGTTCTTACGAGGTCTTTCTCTCTCTCTCTCTCTCTAAGTATATCATATTGTACCAATTAGTATACCTGAAAGTTTCACCTCAATAATCTGAGATTTGTTTTTTCAATAATGTAATTTTCCTCAAAAATTTATGTGAAACTAGCTTTCTAGGAACCACAATTTTGGGAAGAATAATAAGGCTTCAGTATGACTTATGATAAATAGACGTGCATGCATAATTTATTGGTCACCAGATATAGATAGTCCGTAGAACTTGGAAACTGATATTTGTTCTTTGAATTTATATAACTGACATGGGGTAGTATAAACTCTACAACATAAAAGCAATTAAAACAAACTTTTTTGCAGGTTAGAAGAAAGAATAGAAATTCATAGTAGAAAATTTGTGCTGAAAATTTCTACAATTAGTGGTACTAGATACTTTCCCTGCACATAATTGTTTCTCTCAGTAAGATTGTTTTGCATCATGCACTCCAAGGGTGTGGTTTGTGCTTCCTAACATGATTTTGGAAATTGTCTTTGCAGGAAACTCAGAAATCCGAATGTGCCAACCAGCTTGCTCAAACTTGCACCAGAATCCTGCACAGTATATGTCATATCAAAAGGAAAAGTTCAAATTTCCCGATTAGCGAGTAGGTCTCAAACATCCCAAGACAGCAAAACTGCACACAAGTCACGACGTGTGAAAGCGTTTCTGTCTAAATTTACATTTGATAGCCCACAGATTGAAGTGTTAAGCAGGTAACATGAATATACCATAGCAATATTCCTTCTTGGTGGCTGTTAATTATCAAGTGTTAAATCAAAACTAACATCTTCTAAGCTTCCTAGCCTCTCTAAATGAGTACTAGTATAAGAACTACTGAAATATGTCACCATGATGTCGTAATCCTTTAGAGTTGAGATGGTAAAATATAGCAGGGCCCGTGACATCTATTACATAATTTTCCTCCATGATTTAGATGCAACAGAATCTCATTGAGTTCCATTTTCAGAAAAATGGCACTTAGAACTTCTCTTTGTTTCAGGGGAAACGAATTATTTATATCATCAATGAAAGTAAATTAGAGTTATCAGCCAATGTTAATGAGAAGGCAATAAGAAACTAGGATGAAAAAGTGAAATGATCTCATCTTCTTCTCTATTTAACAGAAGAAAAAGATTTTGTATACCGTGTACAAAGTAAACTAACAGAAGATGAATCTTGCTAATATTTCCACTTCTTAATTCCTGGGATGAAATTTATGGTTTGGGATATAAGCCTGTTGTTTTTCAAATTCTACAAACATTAACTTACACTGCTAGCATTGATGCAGAGCCACACCCAACAATTTCCATGCCTCATGGCCACTGGCTCATAGTTGCTCGTACAGAACTGTTTCAAGCTGTAAAGGCAGGAATTACAGAACTGTTTCTGATAGAATCAGTGATTCCTTTCAAGTGACACCACATGACAAGTTGAAGACAAATAATGATGTTAAATCAACTAAACTTTCAACGGGAAGACAAACACCAGAATCCCTTAATAGAATTTCCATATCAGAGAGCAGTAATTTTTCAGGGCCTCCAAGTTGCCAATCAACTGATACATCTGGTCATAATTCAAACTGTACAGCAGAGGATTCCAGTTCTTTGGCCTCCCTGACCCCTGTGAGTATGATGTAATAAATTCATAGGGGAATTATGTTTGCTTGTTAACCTAGTCAATAATTGTTGTATCTGCGCATGATAGAATGTTGTGGCATTACTGTCTCTGGTCATCATATTGATTGTAATAACCAATATTTAACTCAATGGGTGAAAGAGGAAAGATGCATCGTCTAATGAAGCAAAACCTGTAGTGTTGTTAGTCATTGCTGATGTGTTCCTTTTAACATGTTACAATCTTATTGCTTTATGGAGGTCAAACATAAAAACATATAATGACTTCTTGACATTAACTGGTTGGTTCAAGTTATGATGCAACAACATAACAACATCAAAATTGCATCTTCCTTGATTTATTTCCAATGGGTTTGACAGCATATTTACTGGCTGTTAACTTTCTGAAAGAAGTTTACAGCAAAAGAGTTCTCCTGATTCTGAAAGCCTACACATCTATTATATGTTGCCTTCAATTTGTTTAGCTTTGTTGCCTTTTTGTTGTCTCATATGGCTGAAATTCAAGATAGCATTACATTACAAATATGTAAAGTATGATTGCCTGATTATCATGAATCCAGTGAGTGATGCCTTATCTTTTCCGGTCTTATGGCTTTGAAGCACATCGGTTCAATGTATCAATGTGTTCCTTTGACCTAAATATGTCTACCAATTCTTTATTTTATAAGTGTAAGACCATATTATTGAGACATAATTTGTCCTTTGCATGGGCTACACAGAAAGGATTGGATACTGAGATGAGGAGACTTCGGCAAGAATTGAAGAAATCCATGGAAATGTTTAACTTGGTTAACAAAGAAGCTGTTGTGGCAAAAGAAAAAGTAAGATCAGATGCTTATGATCACTGTGATATTAATCAAACTAATTTTGCAATATATTGTTAGTTTTCTTGACTGGACCTTTTCTGTTCCTAGGCAAGGATGCTTCAGGCATGGAAAGCAGCAGAAGAGCGCAAGCTAGAGGAAGCAAGGCTTGCTGAGGAAGCAGCAATGGCTTTGGCAGAGGCAGAAAGGCAAAAAGCCAAGGCCGCCATGGAAGCAGCACATATGGCACGACGTTTAGCAGATATGGAAGCACAGAAGAGAAAACTTGCAGAATTGAAGGCCACTCGTGAGGAAGAAGCAAAAAAGAGAGCACTAGATCAGTTGGCTAACAATAAAGCTGTTTATAGAAAATACACTATCGATGAGATTGAAGCTGCAACAAATCATTTTGCAAGCGCAAATAAGATTGGTGAAGGAGGATATGGACCTGTTTTTAAAGCCACCCTTAATCACACTGATGTTGCCATCAAGGTCTTGAGGCCAGATATATCACAAGGACAGAGGCAATTCCAACAAGAGGTAACTATGTTAGTTCTGCTTCTTAAAAAATTAAAATTCATTGATTTAAAGGTTAAATGCATGTTAGAATTATTTATCTTATGGTGTCACAGAACATTGGTTATTTCTTTTCTTGGTGAAGAAGTTTAAATCGGTTCCTGTCTTGTAGCATACATCCTTTTTACCTCATAAAATTTAAAGTTTGCCCCTCTGATAAGCTACATTTATGGTAATGCTGTATATTTCAAACCACTGATTCTATATTAGAATCAGAATTAAAAAATAAAAAATAAAGTGCAACAGATGAATGAGGTGAGCATCATTTGGCATTATAATGATAGCAGAATGTAACATTTGAAATGAGTTAGTACAACTATCACCACAAAGAATGTACAGTTAATTTCATTTTAAACATACAGAAATGCTCCTTTTGTAGCTTCTTTTAAAGTTGTGCATAGTTCTATAATTTAAGATGGTAATGACTTATATAAGTCAGTAAGCCCCAAATTTCAATGAGACTTGCCAAAAGCCTTTAGAAAACCCTCCAACCTAGAAAACCAACAAATATTATGTCCACAAATCCTCAGCCAGGGAATTTCTCTAGCCAAATAAAGGGGAGATAAAGAGTATGATCTTACCTTTATGTGTTTATAGTAGCTAAACCTCTCCGTCTTTTTTTCTTTTGGTTCTATTAAATGAATTTGCACTGTAGGTTGAGGTTCTAAGCTGCATGAGACATCCACACATGGTTCTGCTCATAGGTGCCTGCCCTGAGTATGGATGTTTAGTTTATGAATACATGGAAAATGGCAGCTTAGAAGATCGGCTCTTTCGTAAAAACAAGACTCCCTCAATCCCATGGAAAACCCGGTTTAGAATAGCTGCTGAAATTGCCACAGGCCTTCTGTTCCTTCACCAAACAAAGCCAGAGCCACTGGTACATCGTGATCTCAAGCCTGCAAACATTCTCTTAGACCGGAATTATGTGAGTAAGATTAGTGATGTTGGTTTGTCCCGACTAGTTCCAGCATCTTTTGCAGATAGTGTCACTGAATATCAATTAACAGAAGCTCGGGGAACATTTTGTTACATTGACCCAGAGTATCAGCAATCAGGAATGCTAGGTGTAAAATCAGATTTATATTCATTTGGTGTCGTTCTATTACAGCTGATAACCTCAATGCCACCAGTGGGACTGACAATCCATGTTCAGAAGGCAATTGAGAAAGGAACCTTTGCAGAAATGCTTGATCCAACAGTACCAGATTGGCCTGTTGAAGATGCTTTATCATTAGCAAAACTCGCTTTACAGTGTTGTGAGCTAAGGAAAAGGGATAGGCCAGATCTTGATTCAGTTGTGTTGCCAGAGCTGAATCGCCTTCGGGATCTTGCTTTTGAGCATGAAGCCAACAACAGTGAGAAATTTGCATATGAGGCATGCCCTCGTAATTCAGTTCCACAGATTGGATCACAAGAAAATCAGGTTAGTAGCATGAAGACTGCTGTCACTAGTTTATATATATCTTTTTGCATCAGTGCCTGCTATATCTTAATGACTTCCATGTTGCAGAATGCATATATTCAATTGATAATTAAAGAATGAAATTAAAGATATGTATAGTCTAGGCACAACTTCTAAGACGCTGAATGAACAAAATAGCTACCACATTTTACATTCCCCCTAATATTTTTAGCAATGCTTTTGAAAATCTTGGCAATATGGATGGACAATGAACCTTGTTGATTTGGTTTTAAATCAGACTTGGTTATGAACAAGCTGATATAGAACATGTTCACCAGCATAAAACTAGTCAGAGCTTTTGAACAATCTGGGAATTGATTGATTGAATGGCCATTTGATTTCTTTGTTTGATTGAAAGAATCACCAAATAGTTTCCAAGTAAACCTTCGAAAATTCCTCAAAATCTTGAAACATATTTCAGTTGTATGTTTTCTACTATGTATAATCAGGAAGGAATGACAAACAATCTTAATGTGGAAATGGAAATTCAAACGTAGATCACTGTAAGAAGCGGATGGCAACACTTTAAGTCTAGGACCAGAATATGGAAGGCCAGTATCCTTCCATCCAACGGGAGACCTGCAGGAAAGTCGAACAAGAAACCCGGTCATGAAGTAGGTTGTTGGTCGTTCATAAATTGCTCCGGGGCTCCTCAGCAGCTGAGAAGAGTGAAGTCATTTTCATCGTAGAAGATGAAATTGTTGTGGTGCCTGATCCTGTCTAAAGCGAACCTGGAGTTCTGGAGTCATTCTAGGTATCACCGTGAAAATTTTCCCATGGAATAGCTGTTGTTCGTGGTTCTATTTCCCTTTCTTCTTTCCAATATGGAGAGGCTCGGAGGAGATGTCCTTTGATAGAAACCTACCTAATTTGATCCTGCAGATTGTCTGAACAACTGTAGGACAGTAAGTTCAGCTAGAGTTACTAGTTTTTTTAATGGTTGTTGGATAAGCAGCAATAATACTTTTTTTTTTTTTTTATAAAGAGATTGCAACAACTTCAAACATATTGGATGAAACCTTTTAAAAATAACTGCATGAATCAATTTCAGCTTCAAGTAGCAATAAGACTTTTGTTTCCACATTGGCTTCACGGAGTGTGATTTCACCAGGAATAGACAAAAATAAAACGAGACCGAAGGAGTAGATGCTTGATTATTATACACAAACACAACTTGAGCAAAATCTCCAACAGCGTTATCTCGCAAGAGAACATAACCATCTGGCTGCAGGCAGACAAAAGCACCCAAGTCAATTTAGATTGAAGGATATATCCATAATATCTTTGCTCCTTTTTTTTTTTTTTCAGTTGATTGAATCCCTTGAAAATGATTTTAGATTTTTAGATTTTTTTCCTTTTGCTATGCTAAATCAATCTTACTTATTTTTATTTGTTTTCTTTGAAGTATACTACTTTACCCTTTCCTTGTAGTACTAGTAAGTTTGAAAGTAGTTCTAATTTTAAATTTATTGCGGAATAAAAATAATAAAAGAATAAATTTTAATATTATTTTTTAATAGTAATTATATGAATTAATTTAAATTAAATTTTAATTAAAAAGGTAAATAACCAAAATAACAATTTAGCAATCAAAATCTTTAATTAACGTGAATCAAAGAATAAATCATGATTATTTAGCAAAATAAAAAAGTCAATTGGGTTAAAACTCCCTTTATCTCAAAAAATATTATTTTAATTTTGACTTTTTATGATCAAAATAGAAAATTATTTTAATCATAATGGATTTAAATATTTGATTAAATTAAACTTTAATAAGAAATATATTTAAAAATTTTTAATTTAAAATTTTGAATTAATAATGACTCGTAAATAAAATATACTCAAATTTGAATTTTTAATTGAAAAAAAATCAAATAATTATGTATGATTTGTTTTTCTTTATTTGTTGGTGCCCGTCTTTCCGAGGGAACTTCATTAAAAAGGCAAGGGAAAGGTTGCTAAACCGTTTTCCCAGCCCGACCGACCGACTTAAAAAACCCAAAGACAAAACCTACACGCAGAATCATTCTTTTGTTCCAGCACCGAAAAGTAACTATAAAAACGAAACCCTTCTCCCCTTTTTACTCCCATAAACCAAACCCTAACTCGACTCGAACCACCCAACTCACCCTAAGCATGGCTCATCATCGTGGCTCCAACCCTGAAACCAACCCAAACACCCGTCTTTACAACCCATACCAAGACCTTAACCTCCAAGTTCCCATAACCAACCTTTACAAGCTCCCAACCTCCCCGGAGTTCCTCTTCCCGGAGGAATCCCTCCACCAACGCCGTTCTTGGGGCGAAAACGTAACCTTTTACACCGGGTCTGCTTATTTAGGCGGCTCTGTATCCGGCGCAGCCGTCGGGCTGTTCTCGGCTCTCAGGGATTTCGAGCAGGGCGATACTTTGAAGCTGAAAATCAATCGGATCTTGAATAATTCGGGTCACACGGGTCGTTCATGGGGGAACCGGATCGGGGTGGTGGGCTTGATTTATGCGGGGATGGAGAGTGGGGTCGTGGCGGTGACTGATCGCGATGATGTCTGGAGTAGCGCGGCGGCGGGGCTTGCGACCGGAGCTGTTTGTCGGGCTGCGAGAGGGGTGAGGTCTGCTGCGGTCGCCGGTGCGCTTGGTGGGTTGGCGGCTGGAGCAGTGGTTGCTGGGAAGCAAGTCCTGAAGAGATACGTGCCTATTTAAATGAAAAAAAAAAAAAAGAAGGAATTTTCAGTGGGTTGATTTTCGATAAATCAAAAATTTTGATGATGGTAGGTTAAATTTGGAGAAAAAAATTGATAATAGGTTTTGGAAAATTTTAAAATTTATGTAATATGTGAAGTTGATTAATGTGATGAATAATGGTAACCGAGGATTAATGATTTTTGTGAGTTTCTTTTTTTATTCTATATTAATGGATCGGTATTCGATCAAACATGTTTTTCTATGTCTTTGTATTGTTTCTGTTACATATCTTTGTATTAATGGATCGGTATTCGATCAAACATTGTAGGGAAAAAGATGCCATGGTATTGTTTCTGTTACATGTCTTTGTATTCATTTAAACTATGTTTATGCATGTTTGAAGTAACTTTGTAGTAATTAAGTTGCTGTCTTGATTATTGAAAAAGGGATATGAAATGTCAGCTGAACAAGTTGAGGAATACCAAGTTAATGTTCAAAATCCGACAATCAGTTGAATTTAGTTTGAGATGCTTATTTCATTTCTGTATGTTTAAGTTAATGTTCAAAATCTGAGAATCAGTTGAACTTAGTTTGAGATGCTTATTGCATTTTTGTATGTTGTAACTTCACTGCAAGGCATGTGATGTTGCAGTCTTGGATGATCATTGTCATGTTGTATGTTAGCTTGTTTCCCAGTTGGTAATGGTCAAAAGTGTTGTTCCCATGCCTCCATTTTCCCTACTTCTAGGTTGGGTACTAAAGGTTAGCACCTTGCAATGTTTATGGAACTGAGACAACAAAGGAATTGCACACGCTTACCTTTTGAAGTCAAGTGATTAGAAAAACTATATAGGAATAAAACGCGGGTTAGTAAATTTAATAGTTATATATTTCTTTATGCATTGGTAATGCATTTTCCAGAACTGACTATTCACTGCTATGCAAGAAAGCAATTAGAGAGCCAGAGGGTGGGTGATATTTTTCTATTATCTCTGAGCTAGAAGTTGAGATTAGCAATGCTAATAATGGTAAATAGTAATGGTGTTTAAATTCATTTTAAGTGCCATCTGAGTGAAAAACAGAAGTATGAGCGGCCTAATACATGTACACCTCTTTACCTCTTTTGTTGTTTAACAGGAAAATCTGTCATTGCTTTCTTTTTTTTTTTGCAGTGGACAGCAGCTTATTTGGAGGATAGATTTCTTTTTTCCGGCATAGAGAGAAGAAAGTGAAAACGTTTTGTTTTCATAATTTGGGGAAATTGGAGTCAACTCTTAAGCGGTAGATTACCAGAATGTTATGTTCCATTGTTGCAATCTAGCTTGATTTTTTATTTTTTTTTGGGAGTCATAAGAAGGATTTTTGTTTTTCAAACTTTCTTGGTGGAAAGAAATGATCGTTCATTTTTGTTTGGTGATAATGCGAATATGCCTTACCAGAATCTTCTTTGATCACATGTTTTTCAAGGTTTCAGAAACCGGTTTAGGGTCCTTTTGTAATTTAGTTTGCATTTCAGAAATTTTAACTTGAATTTCTGTGGCCCCTTCTTAGGATTTATTATCAAGCAGTTGTAAGATACAAATAAAATAAAAGTAATTCTCAAGCTAAACAAAATTGGCCCATTTCAAAATCCAGATTCAATTGACCTTAGATCACCCAAAGTAAAGAATCAGAAGATTTAAAAATTCATGCTAGCAATGGCCATAGCCAAACCCAAATAATCAAACTCTAACAACTCAATTCCAATGGTCATAGCTAAACAGATAATAATAAACTCTTAATTTCAATGGTGATGGCCAAACCCAAATAATCAAACTCTTAGCAACTTAAAATACTAAAAAAAAAAAAAAATGTAAACAATTCTGAGAAGTCACGAGGACCCTAACCAATAAAACAAGCTGGAAGCAGATGAATAACCAACGTTGGCAAAGGACCTAACCGTCAAACTCGACTTGCCAGTATGGTTTGGTCATCTCTAACCTCAATAAATGCAAACACATAGCACAGCTTTCAATGGCTTTAAACTCTAAAAACTTTTAACACCTAAGAAGTCAAACTTAAATTCTTCAAATGGTGCCCTAGTTCTAAGTTTTGAAGAAATTTTGGCAACCCTTATCTACTTCTATTGTTCAGGAGTTGCTAATTCAGAAGACTGAAAAACATAAGACATAACAACATTGATTTCAAAATCATAATGAATCGTAAAGCACTAGAAATGTGGTGGTTAGCAATATCATACCCCAAAAATCATTCCAAGTGTATTCACAGAACAAGGAACCTGTGTGGATGGGGTTATTACACTCTTGCGAAAGGTAAAAATCCAGTTCGCAGTTTAGTTCCTCAATTGTCGATCCCACTTTCTTATTCCCAAAAAATTAGTTGGTTTACAGTGAAAGAACTACTTCCGAAGAAAATTGCTCACGAGTTTATGTAATGGTATTGCATTCAAACCCTCGTTCAAATTGATCATAGCAAGGAAATGTGTCTAAAACAAAAAGAAACAAGAACCACCAGTTGATTTAGAGCAACATTGATTCTGGATTCTCAATGTAGCCCTTGAAAGCTTTCAGCCATTCAGCACCAATTGCACCTACAAAAGCAGCAAGTGGAGTTACTAGGATCATATATCTAAAGGACACTAAACAAAGTCAGACTTAGGTTTATCATAAACTACTGGGATTCTACTAGAACTGCATACCATCAATAACACGATGATCACAGCTTAGAGTTACAGACATGAATGATGCAAACTTGAATTGTTCAGGACCCGAACCAGGGATAACCCTCTTCTCAGCTGCACACAGAAAAGTACAGTGATTATGAAGAAACAGAAATGAATATAATAACATGATGTAAGGCAACATTAAGGACAAATCTTACCAGACCCAACAGCAAGAATTCCTGACTGAGGAGGATTAATGATGGCACAGAATTGTTTGATACCAAAGGGCCCTCCCAAGTTAGAAACTGTAAACGTACCTCCCTGCAAAGCGAAAAACCCAGCATGTACATACTCATACGTTAGATGATCATCATACCATCAATTATTATTTGTAACATAAAAGCATAATTCTCACTTCATAATCTTCTGGTTTTAAACTGTTTTCTTTGGCTTTTTGTGCCAAATTCTTGACCTCCTCAGAAATTGAGGACAAACCTTTCTTATCTGCATTCTGCAATATGTAATATTAAATGATCAGGTAAACTAGAAAATTATTTATAAAAATGAAACAGCAATAAGTTGAAACAATTGCTCACCCTGATCACAGGGACATAAAGTCCATTGTCTGTCTGCACTGCTACATTAATATTCACACTGTTATACCTGAGTTGAAAGCAAAAGAAGACATGTCATTATGATATGCATTATGCATTTATGAATTAATCAGTTTGTACTTAATTTATACTCACTGGCGAATATAGTCATCTGTCCATGAACTATTGCACTGAGGAACCCTTCGAAGAGCCAATGCAGCAGCCTGTAGATGACAAAAGACTTCTACCTTCTAAGTATCTTAAATCGAAACTGTTTACAGTTTGCAATATTCTAATGGCAGTTCAGTTAAGGAAAAGAAGAATATATACTAATTTCTTATTTGCAAAAGTACTATATGAGCATTTTACATAAAAGCAGCCATTTCAGACCACTTTTGAAGTAAATATTTACAAAATAAATTCAGTTGTTTAAGAAAGAAAGAATTGCATCATTTCAAGAAACGGTTTAAGGTTCACATGGAGGAAAAAGCAAGTAAAAATGATGAGGTACAAACTTGACATAATATATTTTTACTTTGTACTCTGAAGCTTAATCAAGAATAGCCGTGTTAGATCAATATTAGAATGGCAACTTGTGATCACACAAAAACCTCTTGGAGAACCTTGGACCGCACCAAATGTAACAAATCAGGATCCACTTCATACATCTCAAAACTAAGTAATTAAATGTATAGAAAGTTGTATACCTTAATTACAAGATCATTGACAGATATACGCTTCCCACCAGAAGCTTCCTGTAATGAGTTGAGTTGGCTTCGCAAACTGCATTAAAAGAAACAGTTTAAATTTATCAAATATATCATATAATTGCTTATCTTTTAAAAGATTAAAGCAGTATTACTTACTCCATAAGTCTGTCAACACATATATCCACTGTTAAATAGTAATGTGGGATAGTCTGCTTTGAGAATAATAGGCGTGATGCTGTTACCTGTCAAATTTTGTAGCAGAAATTAGATTCACAAAGCATATGGGTTATGAAACAAAGAAAGTAATGGCCATTAGAATGGGGATACAACAAAAGAGAGAAGTTAGGATACCAACTTCTCTGCATTCTTATGTGAAGGGTCAAAAAATCTGAAAGGTAGCCAGAATTTGAGACATCATTCTTTACAATTTAATGCAGATTATCACAAAACTAGATTAAATGCTTAAATTCTATATGAAGAGGACCATCTTCTATGAAGTGTTAAATCCATGTACCATAAACACTTAATAGCCTTGGACTTTGCTGAAAATTATAACAATAATGACAATTTTGAACATACCTTTCTTATCTGAGAATGAGGGATATCTACATAATCTAGAGCTGCAAGTTTGGCATCCTTTGTCTTCGGAGTTGGTGCTGAAACTTCCTTCCCCCGTGAAGCTACATAACACACAAAACTCTCCAGTAAGCAGAAGAAGTAACATTAATACACCAATCAATACCATTGAAAAATACTGAAAAAGGAAAAGAAAAAACTGCAACAGCATCAATCGATCATTCTAGAAATTTAAATATGATACCCAAGTAATCTTCGATATCAGCCTTTACAATGTGTCCATCAGGACCTGTTCCTTTGATACTTGAGAGAGGTACCTAGATTTGCAACCAAAAGGAACGAGGAAATGTTAAAAAGATAAAGTTTGATTGAAATGATTAGATAGATACTTATGGTAGTGTCTTGTCCCCAAACAAGAGAATTCCAGTCACAGCACTCATATGAATAACCTTGTGATCTTCAGCCATTTTTCGTGCAAGAGGACTTGCAAAAATACGATCTTCAGAAGGAGGTGAAATAGGCTTGGAAGTCTTAAGCTCTGGTGAAGTAACTGGTTGTTCAACAGGCTCCTGCTTTGGAGGAGGAGGAACTGCTGGCTCTTTTGCTGCAGGAGCACCAGAATCTGATGCTGAAGGACTGTAGTCCTTGAACTTCGCCATATCCCCCTCCTCTTCAACAGTGATAGCAATTATCTACACAAGACCACAAAACCGAGTAAATAACATTAACTGCACAAAGATTCACATGAATTGTATTTCATTCTGGAAGCAAAAAAAGCAACAGAGAGAAGATACAAGAGGTGCAAAGCCAAGATGCATCTCCTCTATTTAGTCATATATACTTCCACAAAGATGAGAACCAAAGAATGATAAATATACACTCATTAATTTCTCAAAATCAATACCTCACCAACTTTGATTTCTTTGGACCCATCTCCCTTTACAATTTTGGCAAGATAACCTTCTTCCATGCATTCCATCTCAACAGTTGCTTTATCCTTCAAATAATAAACAAAGTCATAAAATAAAATATTGATTTCTGACATGAACAAACCAAATGAAGAACTTTTATCAGGTGCTACAAGTTTCCAACAAACAGGAGAATGCCTTACAGTTTCAACTTCACACAACACTTCACCAGGATTCACTTTATCACCCTCATTCTTCAACCACCTAGCAATATTTCCCTGCATTTAGGAAATTGCATACTTAGAAGAAAACCACAGAATTTTTTATGATATTTTGGAAAGACCCAGAACGGTTCACACCTCTGTCATCGTGGGTGAGAGTGAAGGCATTCCAATCTCTTGGTGAGGAGGGAAGCCTGAAAGCAACTTCAGAATATTAGGAATATCGAGCAAGTCATGCAACAAAATATGATGAAACGGTTAAAAACAATGTAACACCCTAGAATTAATACTGCAGGGTCCAACTTAGAGACCTCCCAATCATCAATTCAACTGCTATGTGCTCAGTCATAAATATAACAAAACTGTATACTGGCAAAAAACACTGGAAAAACCAACACATGCTAAATAAATCCAGCATTACCTAAGTGACAGCACTAGCAAAATAAAAATAAAAACAACACGTCCTATGGCGACACCTTGTAAAAGAGAGATGAAGAATGAACTGTAGTCATGATGTCTCACTTCTTAAATACAGTGTGGTTACATTATTTATGATTTAGAAACTAGTAAACACGCTTTATATTACAAAAATTTATTACCCATAAACTAAATTCCTATTATGTGAGCTCTCCCACTGGAATGGCATTGAACAAGCCATAGCAAGAATTAATGATAATATAATCTTACAGCTCACCATGGTCTCAACATAGAAGTGTCCAAGAAAGCGCATCAATATGGTCACAGTTTAGCATTTAGCACAAGGTAGCAGTTTCATCAGTTAATCACACATTCTTGTTGAAGTCACTAGTCAGTGCAAAACATTTTACCATTTGACAAATAATGGATCCTAGAGAGAATATAAAATAGCACAATACCAAACAACCAATGATATTTAACGCAATAATCCACACCTGCATCTGATGCAAATCCTCTCCTTGAATGTACCTGCAAACTGATAATAATGCAGGGAAAAGGTTTAGATGCTAGAAATGATTAAGAAAACATTACCAGGAAATTATAAATTAATCCAATAAGTTCACAAAATATGCTGGAAAGTATACCATGAAAGTTCTCTGCTGTATACCACACCACCCATTGGAATTCCCAATCTCATTGTTGTCCTTGAGAGATTATTCTTAGATAAACCAGATGACACCTGCAGAATAAGATATGAAACAGTAAGTATTTGCCAACTAAGTCTTAACTTCAATTAACAACACCATGTACAAGCAGGGAAGAGTCTGCAACAGAAAAAAAGGTAAAAAACTGCAACAAAAAACTGCAATATTTATAGCTCCAACGATGGGAAAAAGAGAATGACACACTTACAGGATTACGGGCAACAAACTTAGATACCCTCTCCCTTTCTCCCAGTACATAACCAAGAGGACGGGTCTTTGCAACATCTGAAAAGTAACCAACTTTGCGTAAAATAACATAATCACAAATTTTATCCACTCTGTTATGCTTTCAAAATACAAACAAACTATTACCTATCACTATGTGTAATCACAAATCAAAAACAAAAATTAGGACGCCAATTGCCAACCAGGTGCTATGAATGAGCCAAGCAAGAAATATAAGCAAATCATATACTTATAATATCTGATACTCCTAAAATATTTAGTAAAGCCACATTGCCGAGAGGCACATTTTGCACAGCTTAGTAGATTAAACACACCTCTAAATATAGCTTTATGCTTAAGAATTGTAGAAAACTTGATATGAAAAACAAAGAAGACAGCATTCTCTATAGCATCGGCATCGTATACGTACCTTGTCTTTTACAAACAGAGGATTGAGCACCATCAGAAAACCAACGAACCAAAACGGCATGATCATGCCGCATTAAGTTGGGAACATTTCTTAACTGTAAAACAGTAATTCAAAAGTGAATTCAAAAAGAAGAACAAAGCTTAGAGCCGAAAAAATCAGATAAATAAAAAGCAATAATTTCCACCAAGATCAATCACAGTCATGGATTAAGTTTATAAATACCGTTTATGAACTAAAATCACCAACGAGAAATAATCAAATCTAGAAAAGGTATTTGAATCTAAAACTAATGAAAGCATTAAAAAAATCCAAGAAACGAATCGAGAAATGAGAAATGAGAAAAATCACGAGCTACCTTTTTGGAGTGATTGATGATATGAGATGCATAAGCCATGATTTTCTAAGCCGCCAATCAAATTATTGAAAAAAAATGGAAAAAGGAAAATAAATTTTGGGCTCAGTGAAAGATGAGAGTAAGAAAAATGGAAGTTCGTTTTTTTTTTTTTCGTTTGGTTTGGCAGCAAAAAAATATTGCAGTTTTGGCACGTTAGGGTTTGGTCAGTTGACTGTTCTTTTCAAGAGAATCAAAATGTGAACGAAGATCGCAGCCTTTTATCGTGTCTTTGTGCATCATATGGCGATGGTGCTTATGTTTGTGGAAATTTTAAGAACGAATATTAACCGTTGATTGACTGGACTGGGAAAATCACACAATGAAGATTAATGAATATAAGGAAAGTTAGGGGAGTTGTGTTACAGAGGATGGTTTATATGATAGGATTCTTCGCTCTGCTTGTTTTGACTCTTAGGCGCCCACTTTCGTGGATTTGACCAACAGTTTTTGTTTTCCTTGTATTTTTCGTTTTTTAAGTCCATATCTTAATATTCGAATTTTAGTAATATTTCATTTTATTGGAATTCGGGATGGCGCGGTAGTGCTATTAATTAAATTTTACCCAATAAATATTGCGAAGTTATTTATTTTTTAAATGAAAAATAAATTTCATTTATGGGGTTAGATTATTTTCATTCTTTTGTACGGAGTTCAAAATTACACTCGAAATTTACTATAATTTGTTTATACAATTATTATTAAAATATGATATTTAAAAAATTTTATTTTAAATATTTTATTTGATAAAAAAACTAAAATAAAAAACTTATTAATCCAATAATTAAAATTTATAACTATTTTCTTATTTTCTCTTTCTAATTATCTTATCAAATGAAACTTAGGTTATATTTAATATACAAAATTATAATAGGATAAGATAAAATAATATTATGAATAAAATTATAAATTAAATAATATCATTTTATTTTGTATTTTATGTTTATAAGAATTAAGATAAGATAATTTATTTATTTATCAAAATGATTATTTCTTAAAATTTATACAATTTAAATTATTAATAAAATTTTTAATAATATAATAAAACATATAAGTTTAATCTCATAAATTAAAAATAATCCTATCAACTTTAAAAAAATTGAATCATTTTATACGAAAATGATGATAATCCTCTTTATAATCTTATCCATTTTAATTAAATACAAATAAAATATAATATAAAATAATTATCATATTATTTTATCAATTATCTTATAAACATTACTTTAAAAGATAATATCCAACAAATTTAAAATTAAAATTTCATTTCGTACAATTTCTCCTACGATCTCTCCTCCAATCCTTATTCTCATGTATCTTTGTTGAAAAAAATATTCTATAAAGCCAGATTGAAGTGGGATCCATGATTGAAATGGGCCATGATCTTTTCCTTTTCTTTCATATTATGCTAATCAACTAGGAGAGAATAGCAGAGCCTGTTGCCTGATATAAAAGCTAATCAGCGGCCAGTGAGAAATAGCTTTGCATGTACCAGTTGCAAGGGAGAGGAAGAAACAAATTCTGAACAAGTTAGTTACCTATTTCCTAGATAGGAGCCATGGATTTACAATAATTACTGGAATAAGCAACCCATATTGAACATCAACAATCTTAGAATTGCATATACAGGACAGGTTAAATAATGTTACGGGGAAGAAACTGGTCCAAGATAGTTGCCTTCCAACTTCACTAATGCCTGTAATTGTCTATCTAGCTCCATCCACTTAGTTGCAATCACAGTGAATCAGATGATGACATCCTTCTCGATCTTTGAATGCTTATTATTGACGCGAAGGCAGGATTCTCCCCAGGTGTGTAATGATAATTAGGCATTTTCAAGCCAGAAAGATGGATGTTATCAACAGGACCAGTCCTCCATAATCTCTCCACTAAATATTTTGAAGGTGACTCCAGTGAAAACCACAGGGAAAACCACATCCCCTTTATTCTGAACTTTACCCTCTCCATTGCTCTCCAAGGTTTGACAGCCATCAAATAACCTATATCTTCCGTGGCCCCCTTCTCAGCGAAGTCATCCACCAGGGAGGTTGCTATAGACCGTTGCAGCATCAAACCCTTGGCATACAAGCCTTTAGCAGGGCCTACGACATTCCATGTCAATTTCACCTTGAGAAACATTGCGCAACTATAATAGAAAGGAAAGAGAAAATAAAGCTACTTCAACTGAAACCAGAATCTTTAAAGTAAGAAGACACAGTACATGACACTAGAAAACTCTGAAAAATCAAAATGATACTTCAAAAAGCATTCCCCTATGGTTTAGACTCGTGTTAAAACCTAACTTCAAGGCCTCTATTCAACAAGAAATCATTATTCTGCACTCTCAAACGCAAAATATTAAAATGGATCATGCATCAAGCATTTGGCAAATTCTAACAAATCTAACCCAATATTTTCCATTGCACATTTATCTTTATCCCGATGAGTCGAAACCAAAGCTTCAACTAATGCAATCTTAAGGGTTTGAAAACAGATATAGTATGATTGGTGAACCCCCAACTAACATCTAGAGACTCATACATACCCAATTAAACAAAAATCATGACAATTTTTATGCATAAAATCAACAGCAAGCAATTCTTAGCTTCAAATCTTCGCACATTTCATAACTGATAGAACAAAAGCTCAAACGGGCAAAGGCTCAAGAAAGAACCCAAAATCAAAAACCTCCACCTCGAAGTAACCCTAATAATAATTCCTATAATTTTTTATCATAGAAAACTTCAAAGAACAATCAAGAAAAAACCCATCATTCTTTCGTACTCAAATTGGCATTCCAAAAAAAATTAATAAAAGTAGCAACAATACACTTGTCCTCTGATTTTACACAAACAATAAATTAAAGTCCATTCTAATGTACATTTGATAATTACAAACAAAACTAAATTTCATCTCAAAGCAAACACTGGAGCATCAGCATTATGAACGAAGGGTTACACCTTTCCCGTTTGATAATTAGGTAGAAGCTTCTGGGTTCTGACCCTGGTAGCTAGCGCAACTGCATGGGAAGTGCCGACGAAAAGATTTTTTGTTTTTTGGTAGGACCGCAGAAAATAATAAGAACTTGAGAGATCCGATCCAAAGGTCCATATGTTAGCTTATTGGTGGAGCCAATTTGGTGCGTTTTATAGGCACCGGCTTAGGGATGTTCATGGACCGAACTAAGTTTGATCAACGTTTTTAAAAGTCTTGTTTAAGGTTTGGTCCGATTTGTTGGGTTTTGTTTTGCGGATGTTTTGTTGAGCTTAGAGATTAAAAGATTTAAAAATAATGAAATATTAATGTTTATATATTTTAAATTAAAAATATATTTATTAATAATTTAATATTTCGAATCAAGTTTTAATTAAAAATTTTGTTCAAAACTTGAATCGAATCGAATCAAATATGTAAATTAAATAATTAACTTAATTCATGTATGAAATTAAATATTACTCTAATGATATTTACAATTATTTTAATAAATATTGTAAATTTTGTTTTACTTTAATTTTTTTTTAAGAAAATTCAGAACAAGTCAAGATTTTATTTTTGAGAAATTTTTTATAATTATTTGAAAAGTTTGTTTATGTTAAAAATATAATTAATTTGCCTCATTATTTGTCCTTTATTGGTTTTTTGAATAAACTCAACTTTAATTATTATTTTTTATAAAATCATAAAATTATAATTTTTAAAAAATTAATTATACAAATTTTAACAAATAACGAACAAAATTGTATTTATTTAAAAAAGAAAATTTATGCAAATAAATTATAAAGAAATATTTAATATCTAAACCATATAAGGCACTTTCAATTCGTTTCATTACTAATGTTGGAAATCATAATTTTATCATTTTTATTTTCTCTTTATTTTGATTTAATTTGTTTGTATCTTTTTTCACATATGTCAAAGTGCCAAAAAAAAATCATAAACAAAAAAGAAATGCTTTAATTTGTTTAATCCTTTATTTTAGTTATTGATGAAAAGACAAGGCAATTTTTGCCATTAAAAAGGGGGGGGGGGGGCGAAATTGAGGTGAGAGTTGTTGGACTTTTAGGGGGCGGGAGCCAAAAACAGGAGTTTTATTTTTTGTCTACATAAAAAAAGAAAAAACCCCATAAAATTACAAGGAAAGATCTTTATATCAGAAGCTACACACCAAAATAGAGTTTTTAGGGTTACAGCAGCGAGGGAGAGACACACAGAGCCAGAAGGGGTAGAATGGGAAATCAGAAACAAAAATGGACGCCGGAGGAAGAGGAGGCGCTTCTAGCCGGAGTCGCCAAACACGGCCCTGGCAAGTGGAAGAACATCCTTAAAGATCCCGACTTTGCCCCTTGCCTCACTAATCGTTCCAACATTGACCTCAAGGTTCCCCTTTTCTTCTTAATAGTTTTTCTTTAAATGTTATATTTGCTCAGTTTTCTTGTTTCGTTATAGGGATTATTTTGTGATTAGTACAAATTTTTTCTTATTCACATTATTTTACTTAAGCTGCTATTTACATTGAGAAACCCTAGATGTGAGTTTGTCTAAAATTGAATTGGTGGCTGATTAAATTGAAAGAAAATTTGGATTATTTGTACAATGCAGGCGTTTAAACTACCAAACAGTCAATCCTAATTTCGTGTTAAGCATGATATCATATATATTTAAGCTTTTTTCGTGTTTTGGAAGAGTTTAAGAATTTGTAGTAGGTTCAATATAAGGCTATAGAGGCCTTGGTCATGATGAAAATTCAATGGAGGTAATTGTGGCAAAAGATAAAAATGTCTGTTAAAACTCAAAGGAAAGATAAAGTGTTTGTCTAATACTTGTCATCCATTTTCATAGTTTGATGCTTGGTTTCAGTGTATTTTAATTAATTCATAGCCTCCTCTTTTGTTGTCAATGTATATGGTTTTCTCATTTTTTTTTTCCCTCTCATTGGCAGGATAAATGGCGGAATTTAAGTGTTAGTACTTCTCAAGGCTCCAGAGACAAATCAAGAGCACCCAAGGTAAAAGCCATTGTTGCTTCCCTTTCCAACACTCCCAATTCTGCTCCAGCTGCTTCACGTGCGCACAATGTAACTGCTGATACTGCCGTGGGTGATCCTTCAAACAGCACCTTAGATGGGAAGAATGCTCCTAGGTTTGTATATATATTCTTTCTGTTCGGTATTCAAAAGTCTTATTTGTTGATGACTGATCTTCTCGTAAATATGATGTTAGAAGTGGAACCAAGCAGAGGACATCCCAATTCCCATAAGCTGTTTGGAAGTCAAAAGAATTTTATTTTTAATTGGTTTTCCATGGTCAACTAGAAATTTGAAACATCTCATGCTATGAATGAAGGTTTTATATCCTGGTTTGCTTTACAATCCGACTTCCTTTTTCTGTTGATAAAAATGTTTATTTTTTGTCATCTAAGTCTTAGATAATTAAGTTTGATGATGTCAAGTATTAGCAAGTTTAAGTTGAATTTCAATTTTTGATTTTACATAATTTTTGTGTTTTCCAAAATTGATGCTGCATTGCCTTAACTTGCAAGTTGACTAGCTCACCATTTTATATGATTAGTTTATTCTCTTTCATTTATTTCTTAATATGCAGAGAGTTTTGCCCTTTGTAATTGGGTACTTGATACTATTTCTCTCTTTTTTTTTTTACCAGGTATAACACAATGATTTTTGAAGCCCTTTCAACTATTAAAGATGCAAATGGATCTGATATTAGTGCAATTATAAGCTACATTGAGGTGAGATGGATTTTGTTGCTTCTTTTTCTTTCCCCACTCTTTTTAGTTGCAATTCTTGTGTGTTTCTTATGTTTATCAGGCATGGAATTGTTGCTTGGAATAGAAGGTTTCTTGCTTTTGTTTGAGGACCTCTTTGAGGTCTATTGATGAGAAGAAAGCCAAATTTGGCTTAACCTAGAAAGCAAAAAATCAGAAGAGATAGTTGCAATATCTAAATCCTAGCAAGTAGCAAGCAACCATTATTGTGCACAAAAGTTTAGATCAGGGTTACAATTGTAAATTGTCCTCATAAACGCTGAGAGTTCCCTAAATTTCATATCCACGGTTACCCAACAATTCATTGGATGAGTTCACAACATGACCCTAATCCTAACATGCTGAATGTTAACAAGTATATCTGTCCTATTAATTTAGAATAGAAGACAAGGTTCAAGAATTTTAGGTGTTTTTCTGGAGTTGGGTAATCTCTAGCGTGCAGCTGATATGAGGTTGTATTTAGTAATGTTAGAAACAATTTTCTCAATACGCCATTGTTGGAACCTATCATCTGGATGGGGATCTCTGAAGGAAATGGCCAAGCAAGAGAAAATTTTGTCAAGCGCCATTTCAACGAGACCTTTAATAGATTCCTTCCTTACACTTTAGGTATTTCTTCCTCTTATATGAAAGCTGCATCCTAAAAAATGAATTTTTATCTTCAAGAGTAAATTTCAGTTTAATAATTCACTTCTACAGGCACATCACATCGTTCTTTCCTTAAAATTGTGAAATTGGATATGCATGTTTTATCTTGGGATGGCTGTACTCTTTTTTTGTGCGTGTTAGAACCAGTCATCATTATGCATGTTTGGAAATATTGATGTTTAACTTATTTGATTCAAATGCTGCAGCCTAGGCATGAGGTTCCATCAAATTTTAGAAGGTTACTAAGTTCTAGGCTGAGAAGACTTGTTTCTCAAGGCAAGCTGGAAAAGGTAATTATGATGCTACAATTGAATAACTTACCTTACTTCATGATTGATGGTTTCACCCTTTTTTTTTTTTTAATCTTCTGGATTATGGCTAAAGATGATGACAAATTGCTTCAATGTATGATCTGCTGCTTGAGTTTTGCAATGCATTGAATGCTTTCATACCAACATATTCCCATGCTAATCTAAACTTTTAAAATTGCAGGAAAGCACAGAGAACATATTTAAATTATTCAAGTTTTAATTTTTTTTCTGCACAGCACATTCATAATAGTTTAACCGAATAAGAGTCTCAAGATTGAACCCCAGAATAGTCACCATGGCCACCTTTTCACAGAATCTATAAATGGACTTTTAATTCTCCAATTTCTTTAAAGAAGACAAAGCTTTTGACTCCAATTTTGAAGCACTCCTATTATTTATATATATTTAAAATACGACTTCTAGCAAATCAATTATGGTGATAATTTGCTAGCATCCTTGATCATAGGAGACATGACAAGTAGTGATTATATGCAAGAGTTTTGATGTTGTATTGCATTGTAGAATGATTTAATGGAAACAGCGATTTTCTGATGGATGTTCTTAAAGCTTACGTATCTGAATGGCATCTTCTCACTCATGTCAAAACCATCCAATGCAGATACAAAATTGCTATAAGATCAGAAAAGATGCCTTGATGGTAACAAAAACACCTACCCTTAAACAAAAAGATATTAGGTTACGGCAGAATTCTGGTGCAGTAAGTTCTGGTGAAACAGTGGAAGAAGCAGCACTTACAGCTGCCTATAAAGTAGCTGAAGCAGAAAATAAATCGTTTTTAGCTGCTGAAGCAGTTAAGGAGGCGGAAAGAGTCTCAAAAATGGCAGAAGATACTGATTCAATGCTACAGCTTGTGAAAGAAATCTATGAACAATGTATGTCAAATTACACATATCTACTCTTTTCTTGGGCTATACTACTTAAATTAGTAGCATATGTTTTTCTTGTATCCTGGAACCTAATTATATTTTCTTTCCGGTGCTGTTGCAGGTTCACGAGGTGAAGTTGTTCTATTGGCTTGAGTCTTAGCTTCTTAGGATGTAAGTGATAGGAGTCTTTCCTTCATAATTTTTGGAATCTGTTTGTATGTAAATCCGTTGATCATGTGAATCAATGCATCGCCATTGTGTTGAAATGCATTGGAAATTATTTCCATCCAAGATCAATGATGAATCTATAGTTATTGTACAATTAGCCCATTATATTGAGAGTGGAAACTAGTTTTGACTTTTGGAGACAGTGGATTAGGCCTTAGGGGAATGTACATTTTAGAGTTATATACTGAATAAACTTTCTTACTCCCATGGCTTTATGTGGCACAATGAAGAACCTACTTATCAATGGATACTAGGATGGGGATTAAGCTACGTAGGAATTTGCCTGCTGAAGAAGAAGCATGCTCAGTTTCACCAATCCACCAACTCGGGACCTGATAAAAGTTACCTTTTGCCATTTTATTTCAGTTGCTCTAGTTTATCAAGCCCTGATTGAAGGCCAATAGCCATAGGTGAGTTAACTGGCCGGTGGGTTAGCTCGACAGAGGATGCTGAAAAATGGCGAGTAGCTGGTTTGCCAGCAGCGTTAGCTCCCGAGTCTCAAAGCCAAGACATTCTTATCATGAAAATTCTTTATAATTTTGATCTAAAGCCAAATTATTCTAAGTCTTCACATTTAGTTTTCTCTTCTTCTTTCCCTTCCTTTCTTTTGTGCCAAAAAAAAAAATCCATTGGAAGAATGAGCATTGCCCCAGGCCCCAGGCCCCAGGGGTAAGCTTAGTTTCCAATCAACGTCTTCATCGCTAACCGCAGCAAATCCATCGAGATCCATAACTTCCTTGGGTAGAAGAAGCTGCGAAAGGTGGGGAATGTTTATCAAGAGAAAAATATATGTCACGTGACATGCACGGGAAGTTAACGGTGATTCTAGAAAATTTTGACGGAGTTAAGCACTGATAAGGGTGCTTTCTGCATTTTACGGTTTTTAAATTTTACCCAAATATTGAACTGCAAAGATTGTCGCTCTGTTTACACTCTTTCTTCTACTATTTCGAAATTCCATATGCTCTCTCTCAAGAACAAGCTTCAAAAGTCTCAGATCTCTGCTTACATTTGATTTGAATCCTAAAATTTCGGGGTTTTTTTTTTTTTTTTCATTTTATTCCCTTTTCCGCTAATATTAGGTAATTATCTGATTTCTGTTTGATTATCTGCATTTGCATGGTTTTCACTTTCCAGTCCCTTTTTGGTTGATGAGAAAATAAAGGTAAGTAAAAGAAAACAAATCTTTTTTTTAATAAAAGAATTGATATTTCTTTGATTCAAGTATGCTGCTTTAAGTAATCAAATATGTCTTTTCTTCATTTCTTAACTAATAGCAATTGTATTCACAATTTTTTTTACTTACTTTTGGTTACTGACATACGTTTTGGTTACTGACAACATTGAGTATTGTAGAAAACAGAGAAGGAAAATTTGATAAATCTTTTGTTTTTGGATTTAAATTTCAAATGTAAAAGGAAAAAAAGGAAAATTTTAGGAATATGGTTGTCCTCTTCATGAACCAATATGAGTATTAGGGATTTGTAATTAAGATTAATGAAGTTTTAAGCTAATTTCCTTGTTTATCTTCACTGTTCTTTGTTCACTTACTATAATTGGATTTTCCATCTTTCTCCATTCATTTGATAAAAAGATGAGAATGGAAATATTATGATTTATTGTGTTTTGATGTCTGGGAAGTGAAAAGCTTTGGTTCTCTTCTCTTGAAAAAGGCAAAAAAAAGAAAAGAAAAGAAAGAACATTGTTTTATTGTCCTTTTCGTCTCGTAGAAAATTCAAAGTACTTGACTTTGGAATGGTGTTTCTGGGGCATGTAATAGTGAAGATCCTTCCTGTCATGCATATGCTTTCCGAGTAGTGAGTTAAGTTTTCATTATTTTTCTCGTAGGAGAGAAACAAATGTAAAACAAACATTTTAATTTATTGAGAACTTGTAGACTTTGTTACCTTTCAGGCTGCCTTTGAGAGTTATTCATAATGGTTGATAGCAACGCATCTTTCTGGTTCACCTGAAGAAACCTCGAACCCTAAAAATGCACCTTCCGAGAGTGATCTTGCAGTCGTTGCCCTATCTCAAAAGGTGCAAGAGTCGCTTGGCCTCGAGAGGAGACACAAGTTTTGGGAATCTCAGCCTGTTGCGCAATTCAAAGACTTGGGAGGCACTAGTTTGCCTGAAGGCCCTACCGAAGCTCCAACACCTTTATCTGAAGTCAAGCAGGAACCATACAATCTTCCAATCATGTATGAATGGGTCACTTGTGATATCGACTCTGATGAGATGTGCAATGAGGTTTACAACCTTCTGGCAAATAACTACGTAGAGGATGATGAGAACATGTTTAGATATAACTATGCAAAGGAGTTTCTACTTTGGGCTCTTTGCCCTCCTGTTTATTTTAAGAGCTGATACATTGTTGTCCGCGTCAAAAATTCAAAGAAGTTAGCTGCTTGCATTTCAGGTTTCCAGCAAGAATCCAGGGCCGTGATTAAATTTTTACCATGGCAGAGGTTAATTTTCTGCGTGTTAAGAAGCTTAGGTCAAAAAGGCTTGCTCCTGTCATGGTTAAAGAGGTGACAAGGAGGGTTCACTTAGAGAATATCTGGCAAGCAGCATATGCTGCTGGAATTGTTATTCCAACACCAATAACTTTTTGTCAATATTGGCATGGATCTTTGAATCCAATTAAGCTGATTGAAGTTTGGTTTTCTAGACTTGGTCCAAGGATGACAATGAGTCGGACAATTAAGCTTTACAAGTTACCTGAATCAACGGTTACACCAGGGTTCAGGAAAATGGGGCTTCATGATGTTCCTGCAATTGCACGACTACTTAGGAATTATTTAAGCCAGTTTGTGGTTGCGCCTCATTTCAATGAACATGACGTGGAGCATTGGCTTCTTCCTACTGAGGGTGTTGTGGATAGTTATATTGTTGAAAGCTCTGAGACTCATGAGATTACTGATTTCTGCAGTTTCTATGCACTTCCCTCGTCGATCCTGGGAACCAGAATTATTCAACTTTGAAAGCAGCATATTCGTATTATAACATTTCTACGAAGACCCCTCTGCTTCAGTTGATGAATGATGCTCTTATTGTGGCAAAACAGAAAGACTTTGATGTTTACAATGCATTGGATGTCATGCATAATGAATCTTTCTTGAAGGAACTGAAATTCGGGCCTGGTGATGGAAGTCTTCACTATTATCTCTACAACCATAGGATATTGCATACACTGAAACCACCAGAGCTTGGTCTTGTACTCTTCTGGGCTTGTTTTTCTGCTGCAAGTTGATGGAAAATTTTCTGGGAAAGTTTGCTGTTGATTGGCTGTAAGGTTGAATCATGGCAAACCCTTGGTTAGTGTTCTAGATCTCATGTTGCCAATTAAGCAAACAGATTTTTGTGAATTTTCTTTGTTTAGGAGTTATAGGCATGGATTTTAAAGCCTCAAATTCTTGGAACTTGGAATAGGTAGATCTGAATATTTTTAAAGCAAATTTTGGTTTTCTCATATATGACATGATTGTTTTTCGTCCATCATGTTTATCTTTGGTCAAAAGTAATGTTACTTGGGGAGTTGTCTCAATTTCTCTATATAACAATATAAATATTTTTGTCGTTTTTTTCATCCTATTTTTATATCCCACTAAAAAACACGAGAGAAACTTAAAAAATAGTTGTAAATCAATTATAGATATCTATCTTACTTTTATTATTAATTATTTTTATATTCTTTAATCACTAATTTTAAGTTGGTCTGCAATTGGTGTGTATTTTTATCGTATAAAATTTTAACAAATTATATATTGTATATTTTGTTTTATATAAAAATTAATTGATATAATTTGTGTGAACGGAAAAAAACATAAAATATATATTTTATTTTTGATATATTTATATATAATTTTAATTAAAATTTTAATTTATATTTTTTTAATTTTTTTTTTCAAATTATATTGTTATGATATTATCGTATAAATTGTAAAATCTAATCTTTGGGTATTGGATTCAACAAATCATGTATGCATCTTCTGCTCATGGACTTTTGGTTTGGAGTTGGTGACATTTGGGCTTAATGTAGCCCATTTGAGCTACGTAATGGACTTTGTAAGCCCAAAATAATTAAAAAGCTTGGATATTCAATTATTAGAGAATATTTTAAAGATAAAAGTGAAAATCTCCTCACCAAAAAAATAATTAAAATTAAAATAAAATCACATGAAAAAGCATAATGGATGAGGTCGGTGGAGTCGTGGAGAGCACAAGTCATTTGGACGGAAGTTTAAATAAAAATAAAATAATGAAAGGCCCAAAAAGAAAGTAACAAAAAGCTCCATTGATCTCTATCTTCAATTCCTCTTTTGCTTCCTTCGGTTGGAAGAATTGTCCATTGCTGACTAATCAAATTCCATTAACAAAAGCCAAAACAGTATATATTTAGTACAGCAAAGCTGAAACTTTAAATATATCCATTGCACGTAGACAAAAGGTTAACATCCTAAATTTAGGATGGATTTGAATAAACGATGAAATTAATTTTAATAAAATTAAAAATAATAATAAATTTTATTGAATTATTTTATCGAATCTTTAAGGTTTAAATAAAATTATTTATTGTATTTAATAAAATTCACCGATATTAATTTTAGTGTTTAAATCCGTATTTAGTAAGAGTGTATTCAAAAATCAAATGAGTGTTTAATTATGATTTTGAATATAAATCTTCGATAATGCAACTTTTTCATATTCCCAAATTATGATTTTTTTTAATAAAAAAATTTTTTATACCCTTATTTGGAGCAATTACATAGTTATTCGAATATCGACAATATGCCATATTTTTTTATTATTAAGTTGAAAATATGCCTTTCTTTTTAAAGTCTTAGATTAACTTTTCCTTGACTGAATATGAAAAGTGAGAATACAAGAAAGAATATGCAAACTACAATGTTTAAGTAGCAAAGTTTTAATTAAAGTGAATTACTTATTTATATGTAAGTTAGTTCAATTATTTTATATGATTATTTTTAAATGATGATAGTCATAATTTAAAATTTAAATTTCAATATTTATAATTTATTTTTTATTTTAAATTGTACCATGAAAATTTGATTTTTTAAATGTATAATAAAATTTTAAGTTATAATATATATCTTTTATTTTAGTTTATTTTGTATTTTTTAAATTTCACCTTTTTATTGCAAAATGCAATGGAACTTAACAATTAAAACATTTCATGACCCAACCAAGTAAATTTTATCTCTCTCTCTCTCTCTCTCTCTCTCTCTCTCTCTATATATATATATATATATATATATATATTTGGCTGATGAAGTTTCCTTCCTAAATAGAGTAGAACATCCCCTAACTGTAATAAATGAAGAAAATGGAGGGCAAAAGTGGAAAATCAATGGAGAAAATAGATTTCGGGTGGAAATAGTAGTCGTAAGGCCACGGCAACATGTAGAAAGGCTTATAAAACCTAAAAGAGAAAACAATGCGCAGCAGCGCTTGGATTGATCGCTATTTGGCTTGCTTTGGCTTAGCTATCAACACTTCTCTCGTTGGTTTTTTTCCTTGAACTCCACGGCGCAGATCCGAGGAGTTTGCGAAACCCTAATTCTCTCGCTTTTTCTCTATCTCTCTAAATCTCAACCGAAAAAGCTTCCTAAAGCTACCCCGTTTTTCTCCTCTCTCTCTTCAACAAATCTCCCCTAGCCTCCCTTGAACACTTTTTTTTCTCTTGCTCTTGCTCTCTTAATCTGCTTCAAGGTTGCTCTTTCTCTCTCTCTCTCTCTTTATTTTTCTTAGATTGTTCTTTCTTTGGGTGTTTGTGTTTGATTGATTTCCTGTTGTTTCTATGCTTTCGTTTTTTGTTGAATTTTATTTGATGTTTATTTGAATTAGCTTTACTGTTTGGGATCTGGGTTTGATCTGTTTTCTTTGTATGTTTTTAGGTTTTTGCTTTTGAGATTGATTAGTTCACAGATTATTTTTGGTTTTGTTTTGTAAAGTTGATTGCTTTTTTTATAGTTTGAGATTTGAAAAATTAATAAGCTTGAAGCTTTGCTAGATTAGACTTGCCATATTTGTTTATCAAAAAAAAAAAAAACTGTTGGATGTTGAAGAGGAAAAGAGGGAAAAAAGGGTTCGTCCTGGATTGTTTTTTAGATACCAAAAGTAGGAATTTGAAAAGGTTATAGTTATCTGAGCTGTTTTAGAAAGATTTTACTTGTTGTTCTGATTGTAAACAGATCTTAACTGTAAATATTGTAACTTCCAGCTTTGGGGTTGAAATCTTACAATTAGTTGGGTGAGATGTTTGGTGGTTAGTCTCTAACTATGCAAATTATTGGTACTTAGTAAAGGTAAAACATTAGGGCGTTAGTTTAGTTTTAACTTGTTGCGTTGATGTAATTCTGAGGGTGATTTTTAGCAAATAAAGTATGTTTTGGTCTGAGCTGAAATGTGTATTTGTTGTCACGGTTTGAATGGACTATAGTGCATGGATTGGATTTAGGATTAACACCTCCCTTTTTTTTTCAAAAACCTGCATGCGAGCTATGTTACTGCTTTTATGGTAATAGTGGGTGGTCATCCGTAAACCCATGTATACATCAGAATGGTTATGTGCATAACAAAGCATGTATTTGCTTATTCTCCTAGAATATGAACAATTTTGTGTTAACTAACCAGTGGTAAAGATGATTATGTATCAGAAGACAGTGTCTTCAGTATGTGTCTTATGTAGAAATATTTAAAGATTTGGTGATAACAATGTCTTATCCAGTTCTCTTGTAAGTGCTTGGCCCTGGGTGAATTTTGAAAGGTAGGCAATGTGGTGTCTGACGTAAAGGGTTTATGATTAAAATATCAGATAGCCATCTGCCGCTTTGTATATCTTATCCAGACACTAAATCAGAAGTTAATGCTTGTGCTTCTCTTTATCTTGGTGTGCAAGTTTGGCTCTTCCGTTACATCTTTCTCAATATTGAAAGGCTTTGTCCTTTAATGCCGTTAAAAGTTTTGAACATTAAGATTATATATATATATATATATATATATGTATATTTTTTTTTTGTGGTTGTCTATTATGCAACATCTTGATTTCTTTATCAGCATCCAGTTATATCTATAATCTGAAAGCTATAATATCAATTTGGAGGTGAGCCGAACTGTGCTTAACATGCCTTATTGTTTATTCCCTCCTCACAGTCATGGCAGGCTTGGCACCAGAAGGATCCCAATTTGATTCTCGTCAATATGATCAGAAAATGAGTGAGTTGTAAGTATCTTGTTTGTAGACCACTTACTTTCCTCTGTTTGCATATGTTTTTCTTTAACAAAAAAAAAATGAAAATGTTATTTGCCTTACAACTTGGTGATGCTTATATGTGGTCAAAATGCAAATTGCACAGGTTAAAAAATGACGGAGATGATTTTTTCACAAGTTATGATGAAGTTTATGAGAATTTTGATTCAATGGGACTTCAAGAGAACCTTCTGAGGGGTATCTATGCCTATGGTATGTAGTGGTATGTAGTAGTTTGGACAAAAAGTCATAAATTTGTGGTCCACTTAATAAATTCTTCAAGTATCATAGTCTGTCATTTGTTTTGACATTTATAGTTTTTCTATGTTTTTTTATTGGTAATTTATGCTGAATCCCTATTCCCTTGTCCAAAATATTTTCCAAGGTTTCGAGAAGCCTTCTGCAATTCAGCAAAGAGGAATTGTTCCATTCTGCAAGGGTCTTGATGTAATTCAGCAGGCACAGTCCGGAACTGGGAAGACAGCAACATTCTGCTCTGGAATTTTACAGCAACTTGACTATGGTGTAGTCCAATGCCAGGCTCTGGTTTTGGCACCCACTAGGGAGTTGGCACAACAGATTGAGAAGGTGATGCGGGCACTTGGTGATTACCTTGGTGTTAAGGTTCACGCTTGTGTAGGTGGGACAAGTGTTCGTGAGGATCAGCGGATTCTTCAAAGTGGTGTTCATGTTGTTGTCGGCACTCCTGGTCGTGTCTTTGACATGTTGAGAAGGCAGTCACTTCGTCCAGATTATATTAAAATGTTTGTCTTGGATGAGGCTGATGAAATGCTTTCCCGTGGTTTTAAGGATCAGGTTTTTTATTTTATCTTGTTATATTCCTTTGTAATTATTTTGAGTTTTGAAAGCTTTGGTTTTAATATTTTCTGCTCTAATATTGTTGTTTTGTTTGTCAGATTTACGATATCTTCCAGCTTCTGCCATCCAAGATTCAGGTTGGAGTATTTTCTGCCACAATGCCACCTGAAGCCCTTGAGATTACTAGGAAATTTATGAACAAACCTGTGAGAATTTTGGTTAAGCGTGATGAGCTAACCCTTGAGGGTATAAAGCAGTTTTATGTGAATGTTGAAAAGGAAGAGTGGAAGCTTGAAACTCTCTGTGATCTTTATGAGACGCTGGCCATCACCCAGAGTGTCATTTTTGTGAACACAAGGCGCAAGGTTGACTGGTTAACTGACAAGATGCGAAGTCGTGACCACACAGTTTCTGCCACCCATGGAGACATGGATCAGAATACTCGTGACATCATCATGCGTGAATTCCGCTCTGGTTCTTCTCGTGTTCTCATCACTACTGATCTCCTTGCTCGTGGTATTGATGTGCAGCAAGTCTCCCTTGTCATAAACTATGATTTGCCTACTCAACCAGAAAACTACCTCCACCGAATTGGACGAAGTGGAAGGTTTGGAAGAAAAGGTGTTGCCATTAACTTTGTGACTAGAGAAGATGAGAGAATGCTGTTTGACATCCAGAAGTTCTACAATGTGGTCATCGAGGAGCTGCCATCAAACGTTGCTGATCTCCTTTGATGAGATTTACCTTTTTGAAGATTGTTGAGGCAAGGGGTTTTGTTGTTGTGCAAGTCCTATTTACCACGCTCTTTTCTTTTTTCTTTTTCCTTTTCCCATCTAGCGTGTTTAAGTTAAATGTTGTTCCTGAACACATCTGACCATTTAATGATATGGGTCCTGCACAATTGCTACATAAAGATTGTCCCGTCTTGCCCACTTCATTGCCGTGGGCTTATGTTATTTCAAGTTTTGATGCAGCAGCAATGGTTTTTGGATTGTATATCTTTTGCTTCTAGTATTTCATCCTCAATGCTATATAGAATTATTGAAGGCTGTTGCTTTGGGTGGATTTTATTGTCACCATATTAGCACATTGGTCGCTAAGGTGGATTTTTCTTCATTTTCTTTTCCATTATTCTCTTCCCTGGCAAGATTTGGAAGTTAGCTTTGCTCATGGTTTTACTGACGTCCGTGAGATTAGAGTATTGGACGTTGAAGCACAACAGGTGGTTAAATAATCGAAATAATGGAGCAATTGCGTCACCCTTAAGCATTTATCCCATGGAATTGCTCCCCCAAGTTTCCATTACTTTAATCCTGGCATAATAATTTTGGGCGTAACTGTGGATAATATTCCATGAAGAGTCATATCACTGATCTTTGTCTTTCCTCTTCGATGATGCTAAATTTCTTGGGCAGCTTTTCCTTTAACAAAAATCATATGTCGGTGCCCATAAAACCCATATTCTTCTGCTAATCTTCCAGATTGGACAATGTGAAACATGCCACGAGCCAGATGTCCCTAGGAACAGCTGTTCAGATGCCGCATCTAATAGGTTTCATTTCCCTGCAACCCCCTGATCGTCTTGAGGTGAGATCAACCAATCTTGGAAAGTGTGATGAAAAAGTTGGGTTCTGAAGTTTCTTATCAACAAATTCATAAATTCTTGCATATATGGTTTGGCTGAGCTGTACCAAAGCTTGTAGCCTTGTACAAAAAGCATATGGAGAAGTGTTAGGTAAGGTCAATACAAATATTCCGACCTAATCTCGGTCAGTTGGTTGTCTAATATTGCAATCTAAGATGTCTGTCTATTTCCCCATGTTTCACTTTGCAGACTCTGGACAACAGAAGTTACTGTTACCCTTCACTTTCTTGGTTGTAAATAATTTAGGTATGCAGAGGTGAATTTTCTATGGACTCTGAGACCAACACTTGACTTATATGAGCAAGTTAATTTCTTTGCTTTTAATAATACTAATCAGCATTATTTCAAATGATAATAATTCTAATCCGCATTTAAATGCTAAATGATGATATCAATCACTTTGAAGACTGAAGTAAATACTTCACTTTCACGGTGAAAATAGTTTCAGTCCATTTGGCTTTCCCCATTTCCAATAATACATCACTAAACCTACTTTCCTAAATGGTGAATCTAGAAGTGACTGACGGGGTGAGATCTAGAAGTAAAATTTCACTTCACAATGTAACTATACTGTAATTCTTGCAAATAATTGATGACTTATCCAGCAGATTGGACCCACAGAAGCTCTGCAGTCAAAAGCCATAACCATGAGGAAAATCTTTAACAGTTTCATAAAATTCACAAATTCAAGTGCTGTAAAATTTGGACAATCTCAATCACTTTCCAACATCAAAACTGATTTCTCTCAAAACTGTGCCTTTTTTTAATCATTACACGTGTCGGGTTACCATCTATGACCATACAGGATTAGCTGCCCCATGCAATTTGCAACTGCCTTACAGTGTGAGCCTCAAGTGGAAAATGTCACGTCTCAGTCATCTCTTCACAAACTCCTTCCAAGAAAGGTACATGTGAAATGGTTGGAAGACTAAAGGCGCCCACTTGAGCTGTTTCCTCTACCCCAAAAAAATTTGAAAATAGGAAATTTGTATTAATAAATAATACAGCTAATAGCATCATCAACAACTCCACAAATAAAAGTAAACCATCAACGATATTTATTTTCTCCTTCTCCACTGCTACATCTTCATCTTCATTCTTGAAAACTTTGCAATCTTTGTCTAGAACTTCGTACATTTTTTTATGGAGGATTTTAGATCCAAATCATACAGGGATGGAGGGATGCAGATGGAGAGTTACTATGGAGGCAAGGGAGGAGGGCCAAGCAACATGCATGACTTGAGGTGTTACAGTGCCAGTTATGCAAATTCCGTTCAGCCAAATCAGCTTGGCAAGGAGATTGAGATCAAGAAAAGCAAAAGCTCTTTTGGGTCTTCTTCAAAAAGCTGGAGCTTTAATGATCCTGAGCTGCAGAGGAAGAAAAGGGTTGCTAGCTACAAGGTTTATGCAGTTGAAGGCAAGATGAAAGGGTCTTTGAGGAAGAGTTTCAGGTGGATCAAGGACACTTGCACCCAAGTAGTCTATGGGGAGAGGTGATCCATGGGTACTCTCAAGTTTTCTTTTTTTTTTTTTTTATTTCCTAATTTTGTTTTGTTCCCTTCGGGGTTTGTGTTTTACCATGCTGGTGAATGATGGATAAGAACTTGGGATTTGCGAAGCTTCCCTTTGTCTAAGAATCTTGAATCTGAAACTTTCATAATCTTAAATGGTATAACATAGTTATAGAATTATAATTATGGTATCTATCCATGAAATTTGGAAATCAATAATATTTCTTGGTTGAGTTTCTGAGGTGGGTGAGATTAAGACCCGTAGCAAAATTGAACATGTTAATGATTTCTTAGACTACCAAGTAGTCTGATCAAAATCTGGTCACCGCCATTGTTACTGATATTGTGATTCTATTATTTTAGCTTAGTTAATGGTTTTGGCCAAAGGTGAAAGTTTGAATCAAGAGCATGTGCTCAAGATTTACAAAGTAGGACTAATATGAAAGGCACCAATCTGTCATTTTATTCCAGCTGCCGCTATGTTAAAGGAGGAGAAACCTAGCACAAGAGGAAACCATTGTTTTGACTGTTTTAATGGAGCTTGGGGAAAATGGAATTAGATTCAACTTTGAACTGATTTCAGATATTTCCTTTGCTTAAAAACAATTAGCAAAACATTTTTATTTTTCTTTTACTGGTGTTTCTGATATTCAGCAGACAGTATTGCATTAATGTGATAGAACAGGCCAGGGTGAATGCTTACTGAAGTAATAACAGGACAACTACAAGCATTGATTTCTCACTCTCTGATTGAAGTCTTGTTATATTTCTCTAGTTTCAAACAGATCCAACTTCTTACGTTTCTGTAGAACATCGTTAATGAGCCAAAATCTATCATTTTTCACTCACTTTTTTCTCCCGGCTTCTCATAAAACCAAGCATATCCGAGGTGGAGAAAAGAGTGTTCATCTTTCTCTCTTAAAAAGTTAATTGACAGAAAAAAGACAAACAAAAATAATAACAATATGTAACTTTATGTCATGTTTTTCTCTATCTTCCTCGTGACACCTGAAAAATACCCCCGTCTATCATCTAGGATCAGTTAAGAGTTTACGCTTTTCTCTCAATAGCAGCCCTCATTTTCTTTTCCCTTCTATCACGAGTCTCGATTCTAAAAGCAAAACTTAGTTTGGAGTGACTAATGCAGGAGTCTTTTGACCAAATTAAACGGTGACATGCTGCATAACGCCCGAAATGCAACCACCAAACAATTCAAAAACCAAGACATTTAATCCATTAATAGATTTTACGGTGGTTACATAATCCATTAATGGAACATTTTAAATGAAAATGTAGCCAAGACATTTAAAACTGTTTATTTTAGACAATAAGCCTTCTTACCTAGATTTTTTTTTTTTTTGGACATAGTACCATACCAAGGTTTATGTTATTTGGGCAGATATCCGACTCTTCCTGATTCTCTCTTTATTACTATTTACAGTTATCATATAAATTTACAGGAGGCAAGAATTTTATGTAGACTAATAATGTAACCTCTCATCATTACTAAAATGCAGACTCTCAATGCCCCTCAGAGCAGACTCTAAATTCTTTATCTTTGAGGTGTTTCTAACACAAGATGAGCGCTTGTTCTCTGATGATAAAACAGGTGAGCTTCTTTGCCCACTAGAGATTTTTGGAAGAGGCGCTACACTTGCATCAATGGTGCGAAGGCGAGAGTCGGAGTCACTAGCTGTGATTGCAGCATCGCGACTGCTAGACACAGCAGCTCGTCTTGAAGATCCACTTGAACGCAAGAAATTAGAACTAGACAACTGCACAAGTCAAGCCAAAAAATTTACTCTGAAAGGGCATTGGAAATCACACACCATCATACAACAATTTTATCAGGAAAGGAAGAGGGAGAAGGTGGAGGGATGAGACTCTTCCAATAGCACAAAGAATGCAGGGTTATATTTCTGATTTATCTCATTTTTGCTATCTATCTATTAAAACTGCAATCATATTTGAAAAACCACCTACATAAACCAATTTACTCCAAGTCATTATGCAAAGACAGATATCAAGCAATAAGAAACAGGCCTGATCTATGGGAGATCTACCCATTTGGCAAAAAACAATTACCATTACCATAGAATCTTTAGCAAGAGGTAGATCATTTGGTACTGGACTTTTTTGTTTAGCTAAGCTTCCAGAGTTTACAATTGGGCCTGAGTGTCTCCTGCGGGTAGGATCTGTGGAAGACCAACCAGAAGGTCCACCTTCTTCTCCACCTGTGGAAAATCAACCGTATTACACAGTTATCATGTGCCCCAGTTAGACTATGGTATAAACAAATGCAAGAAAGAATCAAACAATAAGAAGTTTACTGAAGTAATGTTATATATGACTAGCCAATATCAGGATTAAAAGAGACCCAACAAAGGTACCTGGTTGTCTATCAGCAATTGCACCCACAGGAGGTATGCCAGAACTTTGTCCAGCACTAGGGCCCTGGAAATATTAATAAAGTAAAGCAATATACTATTAATAACTAATTAAAAGTGTGAAGATGCTAGATGCCAATTAGTTACCTAGTTTAGCAAAACACTTACAAGTGCACGGGTAGGAGGATTGGCAATCTGTGATTGCTGATACTTTAATATTGTCCAATCAAACACATAATCAAACTGAAAACCTGAATTAAGAAGAAAAGATAACAATACAAGGAGAAGGAAACATCTTTCACTTGCAGTCAGGCATAACCTCTTCCAAAAAGGAAAAAAAGAAAGAAGTTCTAACCTTCATGAATGAAGAGATCACGAAACAAGCGCTTCAGATAAGAATAATCTGGTTTATCATCAAACCGTAGGGACCGGCAGTAATGGAAGTAGGACGCAAATTCAGTAGGATAACCTCGACACAAGGACTAATAAGAAACCAGTAAGTTTTCCACCGAGTTTCAAGTTACTGAACAGGTATTGTATCACATGCACAGCTATAATCAGACATTAATTCACCTCAATAGAAGTTGACACTTTCTTTTCACTAATCTTCTCATACTTTTGCTTCTTATTTCCTGCTTTCAGTCCCTGCCAAGGAAGACTACAAAGACATTGGGTTATAACTAAATTATCCCTACTGCTTGTCTATGCAATATAAAAGTGGTGGGCAGTAGTTACCTTCCCCTTAAGAAATACATAAGAACATATCCAAGTGACTCTAAATCATCCCTTCGGCTTTGCTCTATACAAATAAAGCAAGAGTTTTAATAGTGGAAGCCAGTATGAAATATTTAACATCACTCTCCAGGTTGTCTAACAAAGACAAATAGGTTGAACAGGATGTCCTACCAATCCCAAGGTGAGTATTCATGCTTGCATATCTTGCAGTTCCTGTCAGATTTTTATTTTCTCTGTAATAATTACAAGCACATCATAAATTTTTTAATCCAAACAAGTATGTCAAAGATTTATAATTTAGACTACACTAAATCTTATAGTACATGGAAGGTTGTGCCTAGAGAACCGTTAGGTTCTTTTAACAACAATATTAAACACTAAAACAAACAAATAATACCTGTATAAGAATCATAATATTTATCAATAAAAGTTCATAGATAAATCATTTTAATGGTGTATTTGGTAAATCATTGAAAATTTTAATGGTTTTATTTTTTTCATTACGTTTTACAAATCATTTTAAGAAACCACTTAATGGAAGATTTTCAATGAAAAAGTGTTGAAATGCTACATAGTTTTGGCTACTTAATATATCTTAATTTTATTTAATTATATTAATTTATAGTATTTCCTTTTAACAATTTATTCTTTCCTTTTTAACTTTTAAAATTGAAAATAATTATGAAATCATATATTTATTTTATAAAAAATTTAAAAAATCTATTAAACATTTTTAATTTTCAACAGTATACCAAACAACATTTATATAAACAAGGATTGAGATGAAACATAAAGAAAAAGAAAGAGAGAATACTTGCTCTTAATTAATTCTAATTCATTCAAAACTCAAAAGCTCCCTTTATAGTACTAATGTGCAACCTTAAATAAGCTTATTTCTTAACTGGAAAGATTTTAGAAGCCCAATAACTTAATGCAGTAATATAGAAACTGTTATACGAACCCCAAATATCATAAAAACACATCAACAACCTTCAAAGAATATCATAACTAAAATCAACATCTAGTGACACAAATTCATAAGCACCATTCAACTTTAAACAAATTAAATGAATTCGCAAGTTAGGAGTACTCCAGAGGACAAACCTATAAGGAATATGCTGATGGGTTGAAGTATCTCTGTACTTCTTAGCCAGCCCAAAATCAATGATGTACGCCTATATGCAATTAAATCAAGTACAAAATCAGTACGCGGCATGAAGCCAAAGATCCACAATAAAAATAAGTTTGACGATAATACCTGATTTGCACGCTTTCCTAAGCCCATGAGGAAGTTGTCTGGCTTGATATCTCGATGCAGAAATGATTTTGAGTGAACAAATTCAACTCGATTGATCTGATGGAAATACCGTGTTAACCCAAAAAATAATGAAACTCAAAAGTACATGATACCATAATAAAATGCATATAATGAAGGAAAACCTACCATCTGGTCCGCAAGCATGAGAACAGTTTTAAGTGACAGTTTTCTACTGCAGAAATTGAATAAATCTTCAAGGCTAGGCCCCAGTAAATCCATCACAAGGACATTATAGTCACCTTCAACGCCAAACCATCTCACATTTAGAATTCCAGCTGCCAAAGATACGAATAGTAGAATTCAATATTAATCACATATGATAAAGGGGCAGAATGGTGCATCCAACCCTTCCTATTTCAAACGGTCTACAAGCAGAAAAAGTGGTCCTTACTTCCTCCTTGCAGTATTTTATACAACTTAGATTCATACAACAATTGGGGATGCTTTGTCTTCAAATTTTCCTGAGAAAACAAAAATTATGAATATTTCTTCACATAGATATTAGATATGGCACAATCCATGCACTTGACAATAAACACAAGAAACGGAAGAAAGATGCATGATATATCACATCACAAAATTGTTGCTTAATAAAATTGCATTTATCCGTGCCTTATATGGGAAACATTTTTCAATACACTTAACAGCAGGAGAAAAGTCATGCTGCCTCGATTGATTAAGATGAATGCTATTTTATGATTTATAGCTCCATTATTTAATCTATAAAACATCAGCAGAATCACTTTCTCTTGGAGAACTCAATATGCTATCATGTGCTACATCATGCACTCCAGCTAGTGACAATATTACAAGCAAAACCACTCAAATCATTATATTTTAAAGACCACAAATAATGATGAAATAGATCAAACTCCCATGTTTTAATGATCTTGAAATATATGCAAATTCCACATGTCCTTGCTCCCAATATGAAAAGGTTTTAACTGAAATGGTAATTGGCACAAATCTAATCCATGCGACTAGCATAAACAACACAAATCATAACCCTAGTAGAGCTAAAACATTCAGGGTTACTTAATATTAGCCTTGTCCAACTGAAGAACCAACAGAGTCTATCATCCAGATTTAAAAAAATCAGAAGCACCTAATGCGTTTAAGGTCTATTAACCACAACCCTGTTGTCCATTGTACAGAAGTCCCATCTTGAGAGCCAGTAAACTAGAAATTACTTAAATTGTGTAAACTATATGACAACGAAGAATCTAAAGCAAAAGAAATTAAAGACCCTGCACTGCACCCTCTCGAAAGTCAAAATCTGAGTTTTCAAAGCAGAAAAGGTAAGGGTCCGTTTAGTTTCAGAAAACCTTTATCATTTTCCATCTCCGCTTTCAATATAAATATGATCAATAAAATAAAGTAAATAACTATATTTAAAAATAACCGATAGACACTTTTCTAGTTTCTCTATGGAACCATGACCATACTTGGAAGTAAAATTACCATTGATAAGCCAGTTATAACAGCATCATGTGGCGAATTTGCGGCCAAAAAATCTAGAAAACGTCACTGGTTAACTAATCAACTTGTAAGTCAAACCCTAGCTGATATTTTCATTCATCATTCTTCATAATAAAAACTAATATAAATTTGCAATGAAAATCCAAAAATTTAACATGAAAATTTGCAGAATTCGATAGAAGAAAATCACTTACAAGCTTAATTCCAACCTCTTCATTCGTTTGAATATTGGTACCTAAAATTAAAACAAAATTAGCAAAAATAAATAAATAAATAAAATACTAACAAGAATAAAAAAGCACAAACCGAGATAGATTTCTCCAAATGATCCGCTACCGATCTTTCGACCGAGTCGATACTTGTTCCCAACTCGCGGCTCCATAAAAGCCGAAATAAACAAAAAGAAAAATTAAATTAAATACGAAAAAGAAAAAACCTAGTAGTTTTATTTTTCTCTTTCTCTCTTAGTAACGCTCAATTCGGATTAACGTTAAAAAAAAAAGCCTAAATCTTAAATACAATTTCACAAAAACAAAAAGGAAAGAAAAGGAGAAATTTGAGGGGCATATGAAGAAGGCGGTGATGGAATAGAGGGAGAGAGATGATATGATGTGATGATGATCAGGAGGAATCAACGGTGGAGACGTGTTGTTGGGATGGAGAATGGGGACATGGATGGGAATAAAGAGGGAACTTTTTCTCTCTAAGGGGAAAGATGAAAAACAATAGAGAGAGAGAGAGAAAGAGAGATGGAGGAAGATATAGCCAGTAGAAAAAGTAGAATTATGCTCTGATTCTTATTTTGATCTTTGATCCAATCGTCCAGTAGAGTATCAAACGCTGTCGTTTTCTTCCTCCTATTCTCAATTTTGTTTTTGCCTTTAATTTCGGCGTAAGCTCCAACTTTTTTTTTTTCCCGTTTTCATGTAAAAAACAATTCGAATCCAGCATTTCAATTTATCATTCAACTAAATGCTCGAATCTTATTTTAAAATTTTTTTAATATATCCAAATATATCAATTAATGAATTAATTTTAAATTTAATTAAATTAATTCTTACTATTACTTTTGAAAAATTCATCAATAGGTCAATGTTTTAAAGTTTTTTATGTCTGTGCTTATGACAATTTGGCATTTTGAGTTTTTTTTTTCTTTTATTTTTCACTTAAATGTGTGATTCAATGTTTTTGTTAAAGATAAAATCATAGATTTAAATAAGATTTTTATAATATAATATATTCATATTAATTATATATATATAAAAAAAAAAAAGACACTCATGCAATTATTAAGAACCTACTCCGGTAGGTGTAAAATATAGCTTACACATGCAAATGTTTACTTTTAAAAACCTGATGGATTGGGTTTTGAACAAATATGAAAGCCGAGACCTTTGACTTACCAACTGCAATCAACCCAAAATAATGGTGTTAGGTCTGAGACTAAGATTGTACAATACATTAGTAAAAGTATTAGAGTGTGCATTGAAGTCAATGAACAACACGAGAAAAGATCGAAGAAAGTGTGTTAATCAATTCAAGATTTAATTCAATTGATTAAAATAATTATTTTTAAAATATAATATTTAATAAATATAATATTTCAATCTTAGCACCAATAAATTTTTTTTTTTTACTTTTAGTTAAAAAAAAATACTAATTCATTACATCAACAGTTTCAACATTATACAATTATTCAGAGTCAGAAACAGGCCGAGAAAAGGCAATCGAAAATAAAGATGAAGATATATTTTCACAGGATACAACTCTTATACGTGTCAAGTAGTGTACATACAATAGCCCCAAAGGCCTTTGTATAACGAATGGGACTTATAATCTAAAAAGATCAACAAATGAATAGTAATTAAAATTAAAATTAAAAAAAAAAAGGCCTCAAAAGAAAACTGCTAATGGCCGGGAAAAAGAGCCCTGAAAATCATCAAAAAGAAACTATATTCATGAGCATTGTTATGATGGAGTGACTGGACTATGCATTTCCAAAGACGTATGTTTTCTTTGCAACTTCCCTCTTAATTGCCTGATCTTTGCATCAACCCGTGCTGTGAACCCGATCTTGGTTTTCTGTCTTGCCTTGGATCGCTCCCTACTCCACATGCGTTGATCCTCAACATCTTTCTTGTAGTACTTGATCTCTTGGATGATATGATGATCCATTGGGTGGAAACATCTTTGGAAGCATATATGGGCCATGTATGGTAGATTACAAGCGACTGTTACTAAAAGGGTGGCTGACCAATAGATGGGTGCAGGAGCAAGAGCTTCCACTAGAATTTGGTAGGCATTACCAGATATAGTAGGAGATAGCATGCCATAAACAAAGAGAAACAAATACCAAGTGCCAATGCTACCCCATATGAAGAGGTGTTGGATCCAAGTGAAGTGGCTCATGGTGAGCGCAATCTGGCAATTGAGAGCCCAAATGATGCAAGTGAACATTGTTGTACCCAAGGCAGCCATATCAGCAGTCTGGCCTCCAGAACGGAAAGCTTGGTCATAGAAGATGATAATATTGAGGAAGAAAATGATGAGAGAGGAATATAGACCATTGCCCATCCACCCAAGTATCCTATACCAGTCGAAAAACAAATTTCTAGGTCCTTGCTGATATAATGCAGGAAACTGCAACACAAATAGGCATGCAAAATCTTATAATAAAGTCACCTGTAACGTGGATGAATTGCAAATAAAATAATTGTTTACAGACTAACCTGTAAGCAAACTTCAGAAGAAACATCTTGCTCAAAAACTCCTAGTGAGATTACAGGCAATGAGGTAAGAACAACATTGAATAATAACATGTACCAGTCATCATAAACTGATTGTCCAGAGAAGCCTGTGAATGCCTCAAAGTAGAAGAGGGTGAGGCCAAATGCTATATTCTTGTAGAAGAAATAGCAAACCTGAATCCAAAATACCACAGTTAAATTGGTCCAGCATTAGAGGAGGAACAAGCATTAAAAATGCAAGATAATCCCTCATTATTACCATCTGTGCAATCCTCTTATAACACCAGTGTCCATGGACGACAAGAAGTCTTTCCAAGAAACGAAATTGCGCAACAGAGAAGTCACTGGCCATTACAGCCTACAAAAGGGAACAGGTTAGGTAATTCACTGACATGCAGAAATAACCATTCTTAAGAAGCATCATGTCAAGATAGAACAGTTATAGCCTAAAATATAGTACTTTAATAACAATGGTTAAATACATCAAACAAGATAGAGAAGGAAACATTTATCAGCAGTTTATGAGGATGCAATCCTGAAGATTAGCAAGTCATTGCTCCCAAACATTTTTGAGAACAGTCAAAAGAAGCCTACAATATCTTTATCTCCTGATGACAATGGTTGTTGTAAACTGCTAAGGTTTACATCTATTACTAACTGAACAGAATAGCAACTGCCAAGAATCATATGAAGCTCAAAATTTTGAATCCTGTTTCTCCAAAAGGGAGAGAGAGAGAGAGAGAGAGAGAGAGAGAGATCATGAATTCACAAAAGGACCAAACAAGCAAATTCCAATCTAAAGCTCAACTCTAATGAGACAATCTCTCCTTTTCTGAATTCATAAATATGAAATATCCTTAATAAACCTATATAAAAGATCCATTTGATACTGTCATTAGAGGAATATATCACTACTGTAGGAAGAGTGAGTCAGATACGTTACCAACCTGCATACCTTCCACACCACTGATGCCAACTCCAATGTCAGCTTCTTGAATCATTCCAACATCATTTGCACCATCACCAATTGCTAAGGTGGTTTTCCCAGTTCCTTCTTTTACTAATCTTGTTACCTGGTACCGTAAAGAATGTACTAAATAAATAGAATACACAATAAGAACTCCACTTTCAGGAATATTACCTGATTTAATCCTTTAAAAACTTAAAATATGCCAGGAAGGAAAGGAAAAAGAAATCTTACTAGTGCCTTCTGCTTTGGAGACACACGACAGCATATGACAGATGCACAATCAACTGCTAAGCCTAAGAATTGCTGTTTCATATCATCCTCCAAGGCATATGCAAGAGTCTTTCCATCAATGATCAATGCAAATGCAGCATGTGGATCATTTTCCAGTTTGATCATTTGTGAAGCATTGGTAATTTGCATTAATATGTTCTCCTTAACTACCTGAACGGTAACAAAAAGCGACAAAGTCTAACATCAAATGAAATCAATTTCCTGAAGAAAAATTCCTGTCCTCTTTCACAAAGAAATAGATACCTCTTTGGCATCTGAACTATTTGCTGTAATACAGATCTGCTTCATGCCTTGTCTTAGCAGACTGCAAGCGTATCTGCATCACAAAGAGAAACTTTCACTAAAATGCTTTCATGGAGCATCTTTCCACTAAGAAATCCAAACTCAGCTTCCCATTAGAAGAGGTAATAACAAAAAGAGAGCCTAATATTAAACAGAACAAGACAGACCCTATATTTATAGCAGTTTCCATCTTGTCCCCTGTCAAAACCCAGATCTTCAGACCAGCTTGTGCAAGTTTATCTATACATTGGGGTACCTGAAATAAAGAAACGTTAAACCAGGTCGAAGAAAAGAAGTTTCTTAGAGAAAGCAGGCAAGGATAAGACATACCCCCTTTTGCAATTTGTCCTCTACGGCGGTAGCACCGATGAGAATCAAATCCCTCTCCATCATCTCTGCAACGTTTTCAAGCAATGTCTCTCTATCTGCCCCAATAGAAGTTTTTGCTTTCTGAAATTCATTGTTCCAAGCAGAATACTCAGATTCCTCAAGCTTTCTATACGCCAGTGCCAACGTACGCAATCCAGCTTCTCCATACTCATTCAAATGCTTATTGGTATCCTCCTCATACAATCTTCCATTCTTTGATAACCGATCAAAAATAATGCTGTGCCAAACAGAGAAAAAATTAAATCAGTCAAACACAAATCATCAGGCCATTGAATGTACAGACTGGTGTAGGCTACCATGTGCATCCTCTAATGCCTTGATGAGAGGTCAAAAGGGCAATAGAGAGACTAACCTGTCAGCACCTTTACACAGGAGAAGAATCTGCCCATCTTCATCCCTTACAATTACTGTCATCCGTTTTCTTTTGCTAGTGAATTCCAACATATTTAGAATTTTGAATTCCCTATAACATGCCCAGAGGATCATTAAGATGCTAAAACAAAAGAAATTCAGGAGAGATTAGCAAAGAGCACAACCACTGGGCATTGGTATCCCACCTGTCAATTGGTTGTCCTGCAACTGAATATCTTTCACGGACAAACACACCTGATTGAGTTCTTTTAAAAAACTCAAAACCAAATTCTCTGGCTGCAACAAGAAAGGCTCCTTCATCAGGTGACTCTGCTTCATATGTATAACTGCCAGTCTCTTCATTCAGCTCAGGGATAGCAGTGTGACAAATTGCTAATATTCGGAAAAATAACATAATGACATCTGCATTAGGCTCTCTCAACCAGTTGCCTTTCATGATGCGGCTGTCCTCAAAGCTAAACCCTTTTATGGGAGATTTATGATCCTTTTCATCTCTGGAAGTAACAACAGTCTCAAGTTCAATTTCTTGTTGTTTGCCTTTTTGCCTGGAACCAGTTGATCTTTCTGCATCCTGATCCTCAAGGTCAATAGCCATCTGTTGTGCAGCAGCAAGTTCAACTTCACTAGAGCACACACCATATGCAGTACCAGCAATGGAACATTTGAGAAAATCCATCTGATTGCAGGTCAAAGTGCCTGTTTTATCTGAAAGGATCGTATCTACCTGGCCCAACTCCTCATTTAAATTTGATGTCCGTGCCTGAGCAGGATTCCCAGTTTCTTCATCATACATTTGTATATCTTGATTAATAAAGGATGCTTGCAAAACCTTCACCACCTCGATCGAAACATAAAGCGAAATAGGTATTAA